CTATCAACCGGAATAAAGCATAAGTATACAACTTTCTTGCTCGGTATATATGCTGTTAAATTGAATTATCAATATTTTTTTTACTTTTTCTCATCATAGACATGAGCTTCCGTATTTTTGCAAAATCACTCTCGCCTATTTCCGCAGTTTTCTTCATGGAGTCAAACGATGTAGATTCAGCAATCGCCGACACGATTAAAATCAACACAACAATCTGTATATACAGAATAGAAAGTTTCTGCCTTTATAGTAAAGTTCTTCAGGGAGATAACGCACGTTGATTCAATACGCATGCCATTGATTAATAATAATGATAATAGAATATAGCACCAATGGAATAACCAGAGAACAGTTTTATGGCATATTTGATACACGATATCTTTGTTAAAAGTACGCATCTATAATCAATCCAAAGACCGTCATGACATTGGACAGCTAATTATCAATGATCCTTTAATAAAAATTGAAATGTGGGAAATTTGAATTGAGAAATGGCAAGGCAATAAGACTTGTAGCGCTCCCAATTTTTAGTTCTCACTTCAGATTACGATGCAACGACTGGATTATTTGTTTTTCTTTGTATTTTAAATTGTAGATTTAATACCTTTCCGTTTTTCTTGTTTAACTTGTTTGATGTTTATCAATTCCGTAGGAAGATGAGTTTTAAATATTTTACGTGGTAATGGTATGTGCTCAATCAAATCACCATGAAATTTCTATAGCTAGGCATGGTTCACAAATGTCAACACTCGAAAATATTGAACTATTTTGAAACGACCAGCGCAGGTAATCTTCTGTATGATGAAAAGCAGGCAGCCAGTGTTGTTTCCAAAGTTCGACTAATTGGAAATTTTTGCCTCCTTACATCTAGAACGCTAAATTTAACCAAGTTTCGAAGATTTCAAGTTTGATACCATGCCACGTATATTGTATCCCTTTGGTACACACAATCATGTTTTAGCCTCGATAAATAAAAATACTATATTTTACGTAGAACGTTTTTAATTTATTGGGATTAGTGAAGCTAGGGTTATTAATGTGAAAAGGACCAAAGCAACTGCTTTGGATACTCCCATGACCTCTAATGGTTTGGCACGACAGACAAGAGACGATAGAATTAGGTCTTTTTTGACTAATTGATATCCTATAAGACAGGGGTGGCCAAATGTCGATCGCCACGTCTCGAGTAGTCGATCGCGTCTGTTGAGTAAATTTAATAAGATACCTCAAAAATTGCCTTGAAACAAGTTTCATACAGCGCCTCTTGTTTGTTCTAAATTCTAAAACATAAAGAATGTGGGGGGAAGGTGAAGCACGTTGAGACATGGGGCACAGTGGAAAATCAGCTCTCACACTGATACTATATCCGCAATCCTGTCCGCGGTTCGATGTTTCAATCCGCCCTTCGGTGAGTCACAACGTCCCCACGAACGGACAACGGACGGGTAGAGCGGAGCAAGCTATGGGATAAAAATGGTTTTGGGAGGTTGAAACTAAAATTTCATCATCCCAGTTTTTTCTTTTTTCTACTTTAGCCTTTCCAACATGACAAAACACCGTCAGATATTTTTCAGCTATAGTGCATTGTAAAATATTCATAACGTTGGCGAGTCGATGTGCCTTCCGAATTTCGCCGTGGGGTAGTCTGAAAATATTTGTTTTCTATGGGGAACAATGAACCGGGGTTCAGTGGGACATGCCCTAAAGGGCACAATTCGACAGTGTTTGATACAATAAGTGCTTAGAGACCTAGAGATGCGTTATATTTTGTGTAATTTTATGGTTTCTTCCGACCCATGGCCCAATATGGAATATATTCAAGAATCAATAATATTTCCAGATTAAGATTCGAGGAAGGAAATAATCAAATTTGTTTGCGAAATTTTTTGTCAAAATATCTGAACTATTTCAGTTGAACATTGATTTTAAAGATATTACATCTTCAGATTTGAAGTCCCCCTGTTCTTTAGACGATTATGCTGATTAATTGCTCATTTTTAAAGGCATACTTCGTTGAATTTCGACAGACTGACCCATTGTGCCCCAGGGTCTGTCCGAATGTGCCCCACAAGTGGGGTACAGTGGGACACTTGACAGACGTTTTTCAAAGCATTTTGGTAGTAAGATGTGTGTCGAAAGGGAATTTCTTAGTCGCTGAATAAAAACTACATTTACCCCTCTATGCATTAGTCCCGCAAACTTAAGTGAATATGCAGAATTACCGGCTCAAAATATGCAAAAGAAAAAAGTGTCCCAACCTTCCCCACTTTCCCCTTTTGTACATGCACAAAATACGATATACACATGCAGTAATTGGGTATGAACAAGCCCGACAGAGTATATTATTATGTGACAAATGCAAGTTCCACTACTGCCAAGTTTTAGAAATAAACGTACTGAATAGTGAATACTATCTGTCTTGACTGGCAAACGATCCTACAACAAATTCTGCGCTGTGCGAAAGTTATCATCTCACTCCTAGGGTAATGTGATAAATTTTAATCGCAGCGGTAGCAGTGGCAAAGAATCGGATTTGAAGAAAATTGTAAATTAGATATATACTGAAGTTTGAAATGTAGCATTTATGGTTTGAGAAAATTCATTATTCGCTGTTTGGATAATCTTTTTTTTAAGGAATTAAAAACACTCACGACTAAAAATTAGACATGCCCTAGATCTGAATTGTATGATTTGAATGAATCTAAAATAAATGATGAAACGTTTACTTCGGGTAGAATTACATCATCAAATTGACAAATTGAATGGAACATAGAAATGCAAATTTTTGTGGCAATTTCATTGAGAATGCGACCGCAGAGCCGAGCTTATTGGCAGCGGTGGAATTTTTGTATGCAGTGTGCAGTTATCTGCGTATTCAGTATTCATTCATTTTTGTTTATTTTTGTATTACCGATCAGTCGATCGCGACCTATTTTGAAGATTTTAGTCGATCGCGGTCGAAAACAGGTTGGCCACCCCTGGGGTATAACACTGATACTTGGATTCTTTTACCATCATTTTTATCTCATAGACATAGATGGTTTCTAGAATTAGTTGTAGCAAACTGGTATTTCAAATCCCATAAGTAGCCTACAGCTCTTCAAGATATACTGCGGCGTATTCTCGGCAGACTTGCGGCTACTGCATTTTCTTGAAGTGACAAGTAAATAAATTCAACACAGCGCAAAGTGTCTGAATATTCATCGTTGTTGGCATCTGTTTCTACTGGAGTGTATAGAGAGATGATTGATTCTATTTTTAAACGCTCAAAAGACAAACATGTTAAAAAAACAGTTACGAAAGCTCACTATGGAACTAGCAATTTTTGTAATCAAAATAGGTTGGCGCGTGCTTCAACGAGCCTGTAAATTACATTCACACCTACGATTCGAGTGTATATTCCTCCAGTCCAGATTCTACTGCTTGGTTTAGTCGTTTGTTTTGTGGTGGGAATTTTACAATATTATTAAAAAAATTTATACTCAATCCTTTTCGTTTTTTAATGAAACCAAATATCTGAACAGGACCGTAACGCCCTTCTCGGATTTTGTACCCGAACCTTTTAGGTCAAATAAAAACTTGAAAATTGTTTTCTATCGACGGCAAGTTTCCACTTTTCTTGAGAAACATCTAGGTCTATAATTTCATAATTATATTATCGTTGATTTGTACACCTCAATACATTAAAATATTGAGCAATCAAATACAAATAAAGAGGAAAACTTGAAAATGAATGTCTCACTTCGTTAATCGACTCCCTTGCTTACATTCGTAGAAATGGCCAAGATAATAAAAATGATGCAACAATTTAAATTTAGATGCTTTGAGGCATGTGTGAAAACATTAACTTGTTTTCGTAGGTATAGTACTCATTTATGCGTTTTTAGATGTATATTATTTTTAAAAATATAACTAACAGCTAACTTTCACCGATGGGCAGGTTATAATCTCCTTTGACAACGACTTTGTGCAGAAGAGCCTACAGGCTATCTAGTTGTCGGTCTTCCCTCGTAAACGCAAATTTTGGACATTTGTGAAGATTGGTATATATCCGGCTTAATGAAGATCACGTCAGCTTGCCCTGTCACTGCTATGGCAGTAAGCATTTTCAACTGTTTCTATTGCTACAAACCAGTTGCAATGGTTATCGGTGTAAGAAATGTTCCGCGATTTTAATTATGGACACTAGGTTGTGCTCTAGAAAATTCTTTCGCAATTTCTGTATTTCGTACTCATGCTAGTATTCATACAATTTTAAAGACGCAGTAAATTCATACTGAGTTAGATGACCTGATTTCTTATATAAAATTTGGTACTAATTATTATTTTCAACCCTCATAACACACATGAGTCCCAAACATAATTGAAATAAGCCAACAACTGGCATCCGAGAATTCTCTCGCATGCCGTCCTCTTATTTCTTGGTTTAAATGCAGCGCACCTCCGTAATTGAGCTTTGGAGTTTTGTCATTTGTAAGTGTCTATTTTTCATGTTTATATTTTATGGCCAATTGGCCAGGGTGGATAAGCTTACAGGCCATGGAGCGGTCCTGAAAACAAAAACCTCTTACAAATCATATTTTGTGGTGTTGGCAAATATTCTAGTTTTAGACAGGGAGACGGATACTTAGTTTATTTATTAGTCTACAAGACCAACAGATGCTAGAGTCACAGTTTGTTGTCGGCACAATCCTGGCGTGCTAGCCACAGTTTATTTGTTAGATCAGAAGAGCGAATATTCCGACTTGATTGTTTATTTAAAAATAACAACTTGACACTTCAAATAGCAAAAGTAGCTGACAAGATTTTGGAATTCGATTTCACCTAGCTGTTTTGCTGACACTGAGACTAAGATCGTTTAAATACCTGGATTTTGAAAACAAAAAAATTACCATTGGGTTATAAAATCACAAAACGACCTCATGTTTACCACCTTGCCTGAAAATATGTCTGACTTTTCTACATATGCGTTTCCCACTATTATTTGATGAATCTCGGCCTTGCTTTAAGAAAATTTGTATATAAGAAACTTTCCAGTTCAGCTCAGTATTATGTTGGTTATAATAAGCTACTGCCAAAGCACAAAATTTGAACTATATGTATGAATTTTGAACAGTTTGGTAAAGCAGTGCATAATTGAAGAAGTCAGGTATCGTCTGCTACTGGATATGAAGACTCATGGCCATATCGTATGTATATGTAATAATTTTGTCAAAAGCCGTCTGGATATCCTCCCCTTCTTTCGTCGCATTTGGCTGCAATTCTACCATTTTCTAGCTTCAGAATTGCCTGGACAGTTGAACAGTAACCTTCCATCCACTCTATCTTGTGCCCGCGCTCTTTTAGACCACGTACAACGTCCTGGTAAAAGAAGTCACTGAATAAAAATGATCACTACATTCAATAGGGCACGACATGTTGTCTTTCCTAACTTTTACATTTTGCAAATTATCATTACCATGAACCTGCTTAGTGATTTCATACTAGAGATAATTGCTTGATGTGTAATATTATGTCCAAAGAGATTACTTAGAACCTGTGTACATGGTGCATTCGGGCACGTCGTTTTTCAATAATATACTCTCAGAATGAGAGAAACAATGGATTCTGTTTTAATCAATATACAGCTCACCTGGTCCATTCCATTCTCAATGTGCAAAACGTTCGGGTACCAGGTGTGATGAAGTCTCTTCGATTTTACTGCTTTATCTAAATCCTCGTGAAACCAAAGCGTTCGTATAATTGTCTGCAAATTTTAAAAGACATTCTCTTCAGGCAACATTTGATATATTTGTTTGATATATCTATTACAATAAGCTCAAAAGCATCATTCGGAATTTGGGTTCATTTGTGGAAAACTTCCGCCACTAACGCAAAAATGTGAGATTTGAGAAAAACACTCCTACCACTAGAAATTCATAATGTAAAACTTCATTAAGGTTGACTTAAGCGAGTTAACATGAAACAATATTTTTTTGTTTGAAATTCAGAGTTAAAAAATGCTCCTCACATATCAAATAATGAGAGCCCGATACCACGACTTCAAATTAGGTAAAGTTACAGAGTTACAGCTAGATACTTACTAGTGCTGTAGCGCTTACAATCCTTGTCCCTCCCGAACCCCCTACAATCATTTTTACTTTTGGGCCTCCAGGCGTTCTGCTTAAAATAATAGTCGGACATGTTGTCGAAAGAGCTCTTTTCCCAGGTTCAAGCAGGTTATTTGGACGCCACCTCTTAGTGACTAGAAAACAAAATATTAAATGAAACTAAATATCCTCTCAGTCGCATTTGACGTTTAGAACTCTTTTTTTAAATTCCGAAAGTATTGATCATTTTACTGTGGTTTCATTTGCAGAAAGCATTGTGTTTGTTTGATTGAACTCGATGGATGAAATGCAGTAAGCATAGTTGTAAACTTCTTACAGACCTGTTTCCCCTGGTATCGAGTATTCTCCTATCTGATCGTTGAACACAATACCAGTTTTTCGTCCAAGAACATTGCTGCCAAATCTAAGTGAGAGTAACATGTTGAATTAGCATCATTGAACACAATTTTTTGTTTGCTATTTCAGCTTTTGTAAAACGTGAGAAAGTTTCAATCTCGACCTTCAATCATGATCATTTTTTCAAAATTTATTGAAACTTTTAACTCACGGTTGATTAACAGTGCTGGTCATGGCGACCGCGCTTCCATCTTCTCCAATTATTCCCAAGTGCCCTGTACCGTGATCTTCTTGTACCGGGGTCAAATCTTCACCGTAATATTGTAATGGGTGAGTTTGTGAATCATCAATTTTCTCCCTTACGTTCTTACAATATTCATCCGTAATAATTTCTTTTAAAATCTTGGAATAAAAAGCAAACATAGAATTCATGCTAACTGTATCTCTCAAACGATAATTTGCCAGGAATATTACCGGTAATTTATATATAGCTAGACTGAAATATTGTATACAGTAACAGTCTGTGCCAAAATTGTTTAATTGTGCGCTGTTTAGATTTACAGTAATAAGTGAGTTAAGATCCACAGCATTTGATGTCTAACATACGCGCGTACCCGATTAACATTTGGACAGAAGTCAGGATCCCCAAGTACATTTCTCTTGTAATATGTGAATTTCATCGCCTCAATAATTCGATGATAAGTTAAAACTTCATCCTGACGAAGATCCTCAGCAGATAGATTGAATTCTTGAAGTAAGGAAAATAAAATAATATCAGAAAGTTTGTTACAATTAACGGATATTTGTTCATTGCTGTTCTTTCTTTAATGATGTCGAAAATCAAATATAACTTTGACTTTCGCGAACTCAAAATCTCTGTTTTCGAAAAAATCTTCGTTGATTTTGAAGCAGACCGCATATTTATTGATTTTTTGTGAGAAACAGAATTTGTTGCGTTTCTGCGATAGTGAAAGGAGGAAAATATTTTAATGATTACGAGTGACTCTGTGTGAAATTATTCGTGTTTATGGCTGTTTTATCGTTGCAATAACCACCGCATTGATAAGACATGAAGGCAGTTGTAAGTACAGCCAAATAGCCATAGATTATACTATTGAATACTATAATTCCGAAATCAACTACTCGTAGTCGGATTAAGAATAAAAAACACATTATGCCTCACTTACATAATGTTAAAGACTCAAATTAAAGCTTAAATGTCTAAAACTTTTTTAAAGCTCACATCTAGCGAGTAGAGTATTGTATTTGGGAATATAATTGTGGTATTTAGGACTTCCCTGCACATACGCATTGAAGCGTTTCATTTGAAGCTACTTTGTCTATATTTCAGTATATTAATGTCTAACCGTGAAGGATTTTGAGTAAATACGCCAACATATTTCCTCCACTCGGCGCTGCCGTTGATATCACTGTGAAATTGTCCAGTTGAAGTTTCGTACTCTCCCTTATCCTAGTCCTAAATATACATTTAAACTACATTTATGAATGATTTTATTTACAAAAGCAATAAAAAGATATATATATATTAAATGATTTTATTATGGATTACAATCATTACGACTACAAACCAATGCTTGACCAAGCAATTTATTCGGGCAATCACTTAGAATCCTAGTGGAAATAAAAAATTCAATTTTGTTAACAGAACATTTGTACCTGTACATATTGAAGTCTTTGATTGTGATGGCAGAAGGAAAACCAAATCCATCATTTATGTCATCTAAAATAGATTTTGTTAAAGATCCGTTGTAAAAAGCAGCAGCTCCTTCTTCTGCTATTATACGGAGAGTAGCCGCTAAATTTGGTCTCTTGATATAATCACCAGTTTGTTTGAATGTTCCATCGGAATTCTTCAGGAAATTTCTGCATGATTATAGAATAAAGAATAGGGATTATAATCCGTCGCTTCTTTCCACCCTATCTGTAATATTGTCTTGCTGTTACAGCATTACAATTTTCTATTAGCTTCTTACATAATGGCCGATTGATTTCGTTCGATATAATCTTCCCAAATTGCAACACCACGTGATCGTGAGATACATCAGGGTTCTAATCTCATGCCTCACCTCACCCAGTGTGTAATAAATTGGGTAGACAATGGCGAACCGGAAAGATCGGTTCTGTCCAATAATAGTAGCTCCATACATTAGATATCAGTGGCTGTCTTGTTCGGAGCAAAGACTCTGAATAAGCAAGGTTTATAACAAAGCGGATTACTTTCAATCGTGCTTCAATAATAGTTTCAAAGTCATCCACAAGATCGAACTATAAATACCTCCACGTACTGTAGAAGTTTATGGATGGATATTCAAGCGTCTTTTCTGTATCCATTAAGATGAATATTTGTATACATTTTTTGGATACTTATTATGTGATACATCATAATTGTACCTTAAATTTTCATTTTCCTTTACTTTTGGCATAGTCACTCTGAGCCAGTTGGAACATGATGCGGTCATCCTAAAACCTTTTTCCGCCAATTCAATGGCTGGCTTGAATAGGGCTGACCAAGGAAGTATTCCAAATCTTTGATGTATTTCCCAAAAGCCGTGTATCTCTCCTGGGACGGCAATGGATGACCGACCTTAAATATTGTAACGAGACCCAATTTTACGAATGATATATCCTAGATCGGAACAATTAACAAGAAACCGTCATCAATCCCATTTTATATCCGTACTACAAGCATTCGCCTGAAGTTTCATGGCAACCCTTACCTACGAGCAATATACAAGCGTTTGCTTTTTCATTGGAAATAAAAAAAAATGAAATGAATTGTATTAAGATTTAGCCCGTCCCTTCATCTGATGATATATATGATTTGGGCAAGTTTTATGATTTCCGATCGCTATAGAACGTCCTCCACAGAGGGTATTATATTTATCAGCTTAACCTGGGCGTGAACAGTCGATTGAGTGTGATAGATAGCATGATATTGGTTCTTGTTGATGATCAGGTGGCTTTAATCTAATTAAAAGTCTCCGTATCTTTGTTTGTGTGAATTTATGACTCTTATACAACGGAATAGATAGTTAAATTCATAATTTTGCACAAAAATTAATACATAAGAATGCTTTTTGTTTAAAAATTACTAATTTCAATTACCATATGTTTTTGCATAATTATTATCAACGTAGAATTCAGGATCAATTTCGAGTGGAGCAACTGATCTTGCGTCGATAAAATAGTCTTTTCCCGTTTTTGCATCATAGTAAACGATGAAGAACCCACCTCCTATTCCTGAGCTACAGAAAATTGATATATTTAAAATATATTTTCATTTGGGCATCGTTTATAATTTTATTTAGCAAAACCTATCCATCGCAAGCATTTATTCATGCTATGGCCAACTATACAAAATAAAAATTAAAGCAAAAACTTTATGAATAATAATAATAAATTATTTATATATATATGAACGCGCACCAGCTAGCAATTGTCTTGATTCCACCGAGGTTTTCAATCCCGGGTTCAAACTTCATAACCATCGTGAATGGTTAATTGAAGCTTATCAGAAAACCAAAGACTTCGGTCCTAAAAGTTAGTGTCGTTGTACGTTTCTTGCTTGATTGTGAAATAAGAATAATAAAAGAAATACCTCTGGAATGATATCACTCCTAATGTCAACATAGACGTGATGGCAGCATCAACAACTGAGCCTCCTGCTGCCAGAATATTTTTTCCTGCAGTACATGGAATTTCATTATTGCAAACTACAGCTGCTGACATAAATTCCTTGTATGAATTCGAAGTGCCGGTTTCCTTCATTTTTTACAAGTATCACCCTGAACACACATAGACTAAAATATTTAAACTTTCCACAAGAAAATAGTATCAGTGGTCGCTGTTACTTGATACAAATCTACCCTTCAATTGCCAAACATGGCGATTTTTCATTGCGCTATATAACAGGAAATATTGGATGTGAATAGAAATTCAATTTGAATGCTATATTTGAATTGAACCAGTTGTAATATGTTTATATCGTAAGAAAACGCCACACATGCCATACTATATCTGGAGATATCTAAATAAATTTCCGCAGATTTCATTTTACCGTATCACAAATATTTTGATAGAGATTCGTTTATTTTACTTCAAAAAACTGACTGTTATTACGCACGGAATCCGTTTAAAATGAGTTTCCTATTTTTTATTGAAATACTCACAATAGAACTGATAAAGGAAACGATTTCTGTTGCTATTAGAGTTCATATTTGCAATAAAATAGAGTTGGAACAAGTTTATCCATTACAACCTTATCAACTCCATATGTCTGGACCTGTCTAAACCCAATGGCAAAAATGTTTAGCCTTCATGCAACGCCGCCACTTTCACATTATATCACCACAGCCTGAAAATTGCTCTTGAACCAGTAAGGCAATACAATTTTGCCGGAAATATTGTAGGTATTTAATTAGCTGCCAATCCGCCTTTAGATATGCGGATAAGTGACGTATCATGTGGTATGGCACTGGTACCAAACACATCAACTAGCAATCTCAAACAAATCCAACACGGTTCACAGTTTTATAAAAGCCTGATTGATATCACGTCGATACTTTAGCGATCAAGTGGAACAACTGTAGTTAGAACGAGGTTATGCGTATTACCAATGAAGGAAACTAAATATTATCGCGTGAGTCATACATCATATTATAGTTATCATATAGTTCTTCACCGTCTACTAACTTATTTAGGATTTTTTTTGTCCGCTAGCCCCCGCCTCCGCTACTAATGCAAAAATGTGAGATTTGAGAAAACACCCAGACGTTTTAAAATAACAAATTAGTGATTATCCAGTTAGGGTTGGTATTGATTCAAAAATTTTAATTTCCCGCGCAATCTGCATTCCTAACCCTAACTGGATGACTACTTATTTTGGGCGTTGGCGGGGCATTGTACAAAAGATCCCTTGTTTAGAAAAAACAAATAAAGAACAATTATTCCAAACGAACCTGGTGAAAAGTAGTACCAAACCAAATTTCTCAGAAATACTAATCGATGATACCGAATACTGGTCTGCAAGTCATATGAACGTTTTATTATAAATTATCAAATCGTCCATGCAGCAAACACGATCACCTCCGGATATTTTCTCATTCTAAGTTGATTACTCAAAAGTGGTTAAAGAATTAGATTCAAACACAGATCACGCCCCAATTATTAACGTGTATTCTATATTTATATAATATTTCATGGGCATTTATATCTACACCTAAAGTCGTGTTTAGAAAGTGTTCTGTTTGTTCGGGAGGTAGAGGAGAATTGGTTCATGACGTCGGAATTTTTGTTTCCCGACTCGATTCGCTCCCTCTTTTGTCCCAACATTGGCCGAACCGCATCCGTATATTACTTTTCCCGACAAAAATAACAAGACTTTCAGAATGTGGCATAGACTAGTATAGAATAGACGAATCATTTTCATGGTCGACCGATCTAATTCACTTGTCTGCTACATCCTCTGACTATAACACGCTTCGGTGAATTAAATTCACAAATTTTGTGAACAAATTTATTTCTACATTGTCAAAATCGGAAAGATTTTTAATCCGGGCATTTTGGAACTTATAAAACCGAGTCTTTTGTAATAGTAATGACGTTGACACGGAACTGTTTTAGGTTAACATGCTGTGGAAAAGTAGGAACTTGGCAAAGTTTGTGTAGGGTTCCGATAATTGAATTTTCAATTACCATATATACTCAAATCAATTGAATTCCGTATGTCTTGTTGGATGTTTCATGTTTAGTTATGTCATACCACCCATATGAAATTTGCATACTGCATACCGGTACTTCATTTTTGTGCCGGTAAAGTCGTCTACTTTCCTAAAAAATAATGGCTATCAAGTACCGGTAACTACCCCATTGCTTGGCACGCTACGTCAGTTTTATTAATGCTTGGTCATATAACTCAGCAAATTTTTTTTTTATCAAATTGCTTCATTGCTATATTTGCCACTATAATACAGCATTTGGTGTCGCTGATTGGATGACTCACTGAGTCTTTCGCGATTCCACGTCAACTGCTCTGATTCAATGTTTCTCGATTTTAGTGTACTATGTTTTTCTTTTGCTTTATATTAATTCTTGCATGACGAAAAATAAATATCTGAATCTGATGCAACACATCGATTATCAGCAGACGGGACCTTAATGCGGTGAGTCTCAGTAATTACTGAAAAAAAAACGAGATACTTAGTTGCAGTTTAGACCTAACGTAAGCTCCAGCATGAGGTTTATCACAATAGTGAGATCTACCTCAAACTAGTACTATAATGTGAGGTCTACCGCTGCTTTTTCCGGTTCCCGTACATTTGAACCCACGACAATTGACCAATTGATGGATTTTTTTTTGTTTTGCTGATATTTGAACCCATACTGACCCTAACCTATGGGTTTTAGCACCCGCATATAGATTGACCGCTTTTTACATCCCTAACGGATATCACTTATTGCTAATTTTCTATACATTTAATTTGGCGATTTATGGCATCGATCTAGCTCTATCCAAAAAAATCTTGGCCTCAGATATCTCCTGGGCGGGTGACATTTGGTCTCAGGCCCAAAGAGAATATTAGCCATAAAACTAACCGACTGGATCCAGTCGGGCAAAATGGTCAAGTCATAGGAGAAGAAGCACAATGGTAATCAACTGTATGAATATAAATGGGTTTAAAGGTTGTTCATCACCACAAAATATGATTAGCGGATTAATTTATCTGGATAACAACTACCAGCTATGCCTAAACAAGTTGCTAGATTCGGCAACTGGAATCGCATACAATTTTTTGTCGGAGTTTATCCTCGAGACGAGGGCTAGAGTTGGAGTGAAAATTTTTGTTTACTTAGACTGGATAGTAACAGTATTTTGAAATTGAGCTGAGTTGCAATTCTCAGTATATGACGTGAGAGTTCAGTTTCCAAGAAACAGCTAACGATACAATTGAATAAATAGTAGAGATGAGGGAATCTCGGTGATATATCAGTCATTTAAGTGGCAGCTACGGTTGATAAAAATGACAAATTTAGACTCATAGATTTCCTATCCCCCGTACTGCCATTAAAAATTTTGAAGCGCGACTGTGAGCGACCTTTATTTGAAAGTGTTTTGGTAGCGTCAGTATTTCAACAATCGAAAATATTATAACAAACGTTTGTGTAAATATGAAGAAACATTTACTGAAAATAGGAGATATAATAGAGAATATAACACTGAATTTTAAATTTTTTTTCCTATTGTTCTTTATTGTTTATCCGTCCCACTTGTCTCCCGATCGTTTTAGCAAACTTTGTCATCAGCTAAGCTATTACCGTACCGTTACTGTATCTGACTTGTCAACATTTTAATCAATCTTGTTTAAACGAACAAACATTTTACCAGCTTATTTCTGCTGTAGTTTGGGATGTAAACCTTGAATTTTGATATTTCATGCGTTATCATATCAGTGATAAATCCGACCATATGTAAAGATGAGATTGAAGATATCGGGACTGCGCTTCCGATGTCTTACACGTCGCTTCCGAGCACGTACGAGCAATTCGACAGAGTATCCGCCACCCCAAACGCATCGCATATGAGTAATTCTCATATTCCGTACGATCAGACAAATTTTTTTTATATATTGATTACATTCGGCATCTCATCCATCCATCCGCTATAGATTTTCATCAAATAACCAAATCGAAGATAAAGTGAATTAGGTTAAATCAGAATTAGTGAATTTAGAATTAATATACTTTTCGCTTCATTGAAGACTATTTTTTATACTAACTGACATGTGCTTGCTTATTCACTGAAAATTAACATTTCGCAATTTCCTTTGAGTCGAATTAAGAAGACAAGTTGCAGGTACAGATCGCGACAAAAACATCCGTGACGCGTTATTTGTTTTCCTGTAAAATATCGATATTTGTCAGTGTCGCGGTTGCGTGAACTAACATACATTTGCAAGATGGATATTACAACAAAAATGAGCGCGTAAGTACATTTTTAATTTACTTCGCATATTTTGTCATAAGTAACCCCCGTAAATGATGTATTGCTGTGCATTTATAATAGGCTTTCTGCGGGTTCTATATACATACAAATATAAATAGAGAATTGCATTGATGATATATTAAAGCTGAGCGGTTCCATGAAAACGACAACATGATTTATCGGCCAACATTCTGGCGACTGGCGAAGTAGAGAGAAAAGGTGATAACGTTAATTCCAGCCAACAACAGCAATTTATATCCACCTCATTGTCACTAAGTTGTTTCGATGTTTATACAGTGGGTAAATTTCAACATTTTAAAACATGTTTTTCTGTTATGACTACAACTATGCAAAAACAATTTTGCACTGCAGAGACGCGGATACTGTCTATTAGATAGTGAACAAGAGATCAGTAATAATGTGACATGTGCCCAACTACCTTGAATCGTTTTTATTCCTAATAGTTACGTTTTTGGCAGTTATATTCAGGACAAGGATGCAGAAAAGCGAGAAACAGATAAATCGTATAAGGAATTCAAATCAGCTGCCGTAGTTGCTAATAATGAAGTAACGTGTGCCACGGGAAAGAATATTCTGGCTGAAGGAGGTTCAGTTGTCGATGCTGCGATTGCGTCTATGTTAGCATTGGGTGTTGTGTCTTTTCAAAGGTATTTTTGTTACCTAGTTCAATAACTTTATTATATTCGATTCAATGGTAAAACATCCAAAAAGTCGAACATTCAAAGTATTAAAGTCTCGTGGCTCGGATAGCAGCTTCTTATGTGTGAATTTGAACAATAGACATTTGGTATTATTTTTTTCATAAGATTTGAGTTCGCCTTTATGAAGAAGGATTAGAAATTTCAGCTACACGCAAAGGCATTGATTTGTGAATACAATATTCCGTTATAGGATATTTTGGTTAATTTGTCGGCCTTTAGTGGGTAGTTGTGCGTGTTTTAACTTAAAAATGATTTCTAATTTGACTCGAACATTAAAATAAGAATTAAACAAAAATTAAACGGTTCATTGTTCCGAGTTATTGCCCCAAAATTGGTAACTCTCTGGCAGGAATCCTACAAATTTGCTACTCAGAAGAAGATATTTAACATAGTATATTTCTTGTTAAAACTTGACGGTAGTTTGGATATATATATACTTTCGTTCTCAGTCGGTGATGATATTATATTGTATAATATATAAGTCAATCATTAAAATTTTAGCGGTGGTATTGGCGGTGGATTTTTTATGGTCTTCTTTGACGCTGAATCGAAAAATGATTACTTCTTTGATGCTAGAGAGACAGCACCCCTCGCTTCGTCTTCGGACATGTATGAAGGAAACGATTTTGCAAAAAGTCTCGGTAGTGAATTATTTTATTTATTGACAGGGCTTTGGATAAAAACACATTATTTGCTGTTTTTTTGACATGGTGGTTTGTACACTTGTATATTGAACGAGAGCAAAAGCATTTACACGGAACGTTCTAGAAAAATTTCCGTCTTTCATTCTCAGTGTAATTGTATCTAATTTTTGTTCAGTTATTTGAATAGAGATTGTATTCAAAGTTTATATCTATTATCCAATAGTAGGCTAATACTTATTTACGCGATTTAGGCAGATCTTCCATAGCAGTTCCAGGCCAGATTAAAGGTTTTTGGGAAGCTCACCAAAGGTTTGGGAAACTTCCATGGAGTCTGCTTTTCCAACCAGCAATTGATTTGGCGGAAAATGGTTTCAAGATGACAGCAGGTTGTGAACATTGGCTTAAACTTACAATGCCAAAAATACAACAGAATAAACGTCTGAGGTAATGATGGTATCTGAATAATATTATTTTATTTATTATATCACTCCAAATTCATGATTAGCTCATATATATAATGACATGTAGGGGGTCATCAGAAATAATATAAAATCCTTGGTACTCTTGAAGTATGCACACCAAGATGTCGCATAACCTGAACCCTAACCTGGTACACAACCTGAGTTCAGGTTGTGCGCCATCTTTGTGCGCATACTTCAGGAGGTCCAAATCCATATTTAAAACTGATTAATGACGAGGTAGATAGATCTGAGGCTTTTTCATGAACATTTTATTCCTTATTCAGTTTGAATGAATTAAATAATTTGCAATTATCAGAGAACTACTACAAAAAAATGATGGAAAATTCAAACAAGCAGGGGATATAATTTTTCGACCGAAACTCGCTAAAACTTTACGTACAATAGCGAAAGAGGGGGCCGATGCTTATTATAATGGATCACTCACCAATTCAATATTAGAAGATATAAATGATGGATTCGGAAATCCTTCAGTTATAACCAAAGAAGATTTAATCACTTACAGGTAGGATTTGGCCAAGCGATGAACACTTTTATTCATTTACAGTATTTTTATTGATGAATTTCGAAAACAATGTAGGTCGTTTTTTTGCGAGAGCACGGGACTGGGTGAGTACTTTTATACAGGAAAACAATGTATTGAGATTTTCACATGAAGTATGGACAATTTTTGTACTCGCCATTGCCAATGCCCTATCAGTGCGTATAATTTATCTAATCCCACTACGGTCGATTTATTGAAAATGTCGTTTCAAAATCGTATTTTCTATAAAACGATTTATATTATCTTGATTCAAAATCTTTAGTGTACGAATGGCGGAACCCACCAAACTGAAACTTACCAACGATCTAACTTTGATTACATCAGGAGCCCCAAGTGGAGGACCGTTACTCGCTTTTTTATTAAACATTTTAAAAGGTAACTCAATTATATATATATGGCAAGAGGTGAGGATTCGTAATATATAATATATATTTAATGCTGAGTTGTAATATGCACTGCTTAGGTTAGGGTGAACCTCTCAAAGCATCTCATCAGGCTTCTCTTCAAATTAGTGTGTGTTTCAATGCGAAATGCGACTTCAATCATTCATTATATTTAGGCCGAAATGCATGCACAATATTTAGGGTACCCGAATGCATGATATTTAACTTGTGTCGTATTTTTGTTGGTTCGTTTCTCTGTGATATAGAAAATAAGTTATTTTAAATATAGCCTCATGTCGTGACAAAATTACCGCGTTTGAAAAAACCTAAACTCTTCAGTAATATAACTTGAGGATTTCTTGAATTATTCGAGTTTAGAAATATACAGAACGACTAAAAACCTCCTTTTATTATTGGATGGCATGAATGTCAGCATACTGAAACGATTTTATTGGTGTTCGTAGGATATAACATCAATGGCGATGTTTCGAAAGAAAACAAGATTTTACTATATCATCGAATAGCAGAGGCGATGAAGTTTGCATACTGTAGAAAAAATCAACTTGGAGATCCGGAATTCAGTAACGAAGTCAAAGAAGTCAGAGTTTCTAATTGAATTACCATATATTTATTATGCGAATTCTGTCTCAGATATTTTTTTAAAACGACCAGATTTCAGCACTCAGCAATATCCACGAATGAACCACGGAGGCAGCCAAGTGTTATAATCGTGTTACTTTTATTTCAGTGGTTCCCAAGCCGTGGCCCTCGGGCCGATTATGGCCCGCGTAACGATTTATTTTGACCCGCCCAACTAGAGTTGAATAGTTCAACACCTTATGTTTTTTCTTTTCTTTTTGCGTTCTAGATATCGCCTATAGTATTGTGTCCTTATCACAGACGTGTATATTCATAACAATTCAACTATACCGGTATCTCAATTATGCGCACCCGTACAGACAGGCCCCTTGCAGGTGCTGCTCTTCCCCGGCCCGCCCATATCCTTCCGATTCTAATTTCGATCCCGGTCAATCAAACTCTAATGAGTCTAATTTAGTTGGGTCAATTCTATACTATTGTATACTGGTGCTACAATGGGTACTGTATGAATTCATTTGTGAGAACATTGAAAATAGCATTTTGAAACATAAAAGCCAAGATATATTATTCTCGAGCTTCATATTACGAAATGGGTTGGTGGTATTTACTTTTACATGAACGCAGTAGGATCATCATGTCTCTGAATGTCGGTATTATTACTGTTTAGTTGATTGAGGAAATGCTATCTGACGAATACTGCGAACAAGTACGAATGAAAATCGACGATTTTCAAACTCATTCTCCAGAATATTATGGCGAATATCAGCAAGCTCCGATAGATAAAGGAACTGCACATGTTGGAATAGTTGGAGAAAATGGAAGTGCAGTTGCTTTAACTGGATCGCTAAACAGTCCGTAAGTTACAATATATTATCGGGAAGAGTCGACGTTCCGAAATCCCATTTTTGAAAAATGAAATTGCGGAGAAACGTTTTAATTCATTCGATCGGTGACTAAAAACGCATCATTATGTCCCATCCACTTAATGCTTTGCTCTATCTTTTAACCTACACCAGGTATTGATAAAATTTATACAAATAAAATGGTCGATGCAATTTCACACATTCAGATGTTTGTTGAATTTTCACATTTTGCCAGGTCTTCGTCACCAAAAGCTTTTATTTTAATAATGATACCAAACAGCTTAGTAGGTGGCGTGAAAATTCTTTAAATGGGATAGGACAAAACAAAAGTTTACCTTGCGAACAGCAGGTTGCACCACTTCCGTTTATTCAGATGTGTGACATTTTCATAATCCACCAATTAAAAGATATTAGATAGAGGTAAAAGTCTTTCGGCAAAGTGAGACGAGAATTTATCAATACTGAGGAATACACGTATGCTTCCTATCAGACATATAATCACTTGGAATGTTTGCTGTTACAGATTCGGAAGTAGCGTGCTTGGAAGAAGAACCGGAATCATATTCAACAACCACATGGAAAATTTTACTTCTCCAGACAATAAATGTTAGTGACTGCGAACTGATTACTTGTAAATATTTTGTTTCGACATTTTTTCATACCCTTGTCGCATAACAAATTACAATTCATCTCTCAAATAGGGTTCGAGGCTGTTACGCATATTCGAAGTCACATTATGTACGTTTCTAGCAAACGCGACGGCTAGACCAAGTCTGTGAAACAAAGTATTACCGGTTTATGTGAATCCAAGATGTTTTTCGTACGATTATACACGAACACGCGTCAATTTACATCGTCAACCAAGATAACTGTAATTAGATTTAAAAACATGCAACTGTAATAGAAAATGGCCTACTCACGTAGGCAGAGCTACTTGTATAAGCAAGGCTTCCAGACTGTCCTTAGTTTGATCAATGAGATAAACACAGCTTAAATTTTAACATTAATAAAGGAAATGCACGGTTGACGATGACTCTTGAATTAGATTGCGCTGTATATCTTGGGGTTTCAATATCAGACTGTTTCTAGCAATGACGACCATCGCAGTAAATCAATAATGGCCCTGCGTATAGGTAATATAAATGAGGTTTGGAGCTGTAATATAGCTTGGAAACGAGGTACAATCCTCATGCTAGATCAAGTAGCGTTAAATGATATTAAATTTTTGTGTTTATTGTTTTCAATGCAGCATCATCAACAGTAGACAGATTCGTTGAGTTTATCCGTCCGTTTTGCCACATATCGTTTCCAGCACATCTTATTTCTAACAATCTGATTGAACCTCGCAAAAGACCTTTGTCATCCATGAACCCAACTATTATATTGAAAAATACGCCTAACGGACCAGAAGTGAAAATGGTTTTGGGAGGTGCAGGTGGAATGCGCATCATAGCGTCAACGGCATTGGTGAGTTCAAGTGTAACGTGCATAATGTATTGAAATACACGCGAAGCGTCCGTAAATAATGATACCTGGTTGAAATATTGATGTACAATACATTAATGAATCGATGCGCAAAAAGGTACTGCCGTGTATGTGAACTAAGATGGCGGACTCCGGAACGTAGTATGTGTACTAGGTTGGGCCATAATTTCATGTACAAATACTACGGGAGTCACTTGGCTAGTCCCCGAACTTGTAATAGAACTAAAATAAGAAAAATTGGAATAAAATAAGGAAAATTATGGTCTAACCCCAACCTGGTACACATTACGTTCCGGTGTTCGCCATATTGGTTCGCATACTACATGAGTACAGCGCAAAATACCTAAGAATGACTTTAAAATGTGGCACACCTTCGACATTCCATTATATTTCTCATTTATACGAAAGAGGTGACTAACTAATTCGTCCATATGAAGTTCAGAAAGAACTAAAATCCTGATTACATTCCCTATGCTGTAAAGCGTCCGATATTTATTCTACTTATCTATGTACTGTATTTTTCAGACAATTCTACAAAGCTTGTGGTTCGATAAAAACACAAACGACGCCGTTAAATCAAAAAGATTCAATCATTTTTGTTTTCCAAATATTCTTCAAATCGAAAATGGGATGGACAAGGTAAACTTTAAAGTAATTTACTGTCTGATTTTATCGTTGTTAAGGATTGTTAACGTTTGATTTAAAAAAAATGCGATCTGTTAGGTATAAGGTATATAAAGAACTTGACATTATGAGAGAGACTGCATGCTTAAAGCATCGCGTTTACGTTCGCACTTCCACCCGATTCACTTTAGGCGATGAAAATCGGAACAGGTGATATAGTAAGCCCATTTTAAGGTCGAGCGGGTTCCTTAGAGGTATAATTTTTAGTGATGCTTTCGTAGGAAACCAAATTTAAAACTCTTACAAACAAAAATCACGAGTGGGTCATGCACGAGTACACATAAAAACTCGGGTAAAATGAAAGATATAGGCTCCCCTGTTAAATCTTGGAAATGGCGTTGTATGGGATTACGTGTAATTGCACTTCACGCATTTTGTCCATTTAATCTGTCTCTGTGTGTGGAAATCGTTTTTTTTTTTTTACAACACGAACAGAACATAGTAAAAGGACTTCAAGAAAAGGGGCATCAGGTTGAGATGATTGAAAATCGTCTAACAACAATGCAAGTTATATCACGATCAAATTCAGGGACCATTGTTGCAAAATGTGATTGCAGGAAAGATGGATACCCAGATGGATATTGACGAAATTATTGTATATGCGCAACAATCACCGTTACGGTATACTACTGCATAATTTTAATTGCCTCGTGACTATTCTCTAAGCAAAGGTATATTACACAGAGTTTTTAAGTATATATTCTAATCTTTCGTAATGTAATTCAATGTAATAAAGTTTGTATAGTTGTGTTGTGAATTTGAATATATGAATCCAAGATGGTCTGTTTAAATTGTGTTGTTGTCACAAGAATAAAATACCGGGGAAAATGGACAAACAATGCAAAAACTGAAAACATATATAGCCGTCTATTTAGACCAGGGGTTCCCAAACCGCGGCCCGCGGGCAAATTCCGGCCCGCGTAACAATTTAAAATGGCCCGCCGAACTTGAGTAAAACGATGTTGTTATGTCATTACCACAGTTTAAGCACGTGTTTATCGCGTACCATTTCAATTATGCCGATATCTCAATAATACGTACCGGTATTACCGTGTTTCCCCAAAAATAGAAGAGATTATTTCAATTTTCTTTCGAAAAATATAACTAGGGCTTATTTTCGGGGCGTTTCTTTTATTTTCAAAAAAAAATTACAAAGATTTTCAAATATAAAAAATATGAAAACCAATATCCATTTACTTAAATGGCACGTTTCCTCTTTCACACTTGTTAGATTAATCATTTACAACGTGTAGGGGAGATTTCCTGCTATCGACTAGGTGCTACTGACTATACGTCTTATTTTACGGTGAGGCTTATATTAAAATAATTCTTAAAATTCAGGCTAGGTCTTATTTACGGGATTGGTCTCATTTTCAGGGAAACACGGTAGAGTTACAAAGAGCAATTAAGTTATCAGCCCTATAAGCTTACAGATGTCAAAAAAACAAACAAAACTAGACTTTGCAAATAGACGTTTCCGGGATAAACGGTAGCTTCCATATTTCTGTATTGCAAAGAATCAAACTTCAGCGATTGCCAATGAAATATTCCAGTTCTGAAGGAATACGACATTATGAGTCAAACAAACAGATTGCAAAAAATGTCAAATGAAAGTGAATCCACTGAACCCCAGCTAAACCGCCGCGAACTTTCGGGCGCTAAACTCTTCCGGCCCGCGAACATTCTCCCGATTCTAAATTTGGCCCGCGTCCAATAAAGTTTGGGAACCCCCCTTGTTGCTGGAGCCCCCCTTGATGAGTTCGCGTAACAAAATTTCGGTCGTGATTATTTCAAATTTGCACCATCCATATTTTATATACAGTATGTATATTAAATACATATAGTTATACTAAAAGCCGTTGAACTGTTGAATTGACACAAATATTATATCTACTATTCTCCCCAAATATCGAACACAGGAAATAACACCATACTTTCTAAGTTAGTGGTTCGCAAACGCCGGTCGGCGGATTTGCTGGTCCGCGAGAAATTTTATTTTGTAGTTTTTCTGCCGTCTCAATCGCTTTACTGAAGCCGACGTTACGTTAGTTTAATATGCAATTTCCCTTCCGCCGTCATATTGCTGTTTATTAATGGCCCGGCAACATCTTGGCGCCGAGCAATCACACTTTTCGCTCTCTCGGTTCCAAATCATCGCAAAAGCTCTCCGTCAATTCTCGCAAGATTCAGAAACCTCGAAATCAGCATGCATGCTTTTTCTGTTCTGCATGCTTTTCTGGATTAATAAGACGAAGTTACGTTGGTATATTACGCAATTTCTCTCCCGCTGTCATATTGCTGTTTGATAATTGCGGTATTAATGGCCCGGCGACGTCTTGGCGCCAAGTAATCACACTTTTTGCTTTTTAGGTTTCGATTCATCGCGAAGCGATAAACCTGAAAATCAGAATACGTGCTTTTTCCGCTCTGCATGCTTTTCTTGATATCATTCAAATAAAAGGGTTATGAATATTTCGTTGTTTAAACCAGAAAACTGTCAAGAACAGTATAATATTGCAGAGCTTCACCTTGACATCAAGCTAGATATGAACTTGTTGCGACCCTGCTGGTGGTCACGAGACGCTTCCGGGTTATGTACAGCAGGATTTTGAGCCTGGTGCCCAGTTAGCAACGACTTTATCATTGTAATATAAATTCTTGAGCTGTATTGATGACGAGTACCCATCGCTAAGTAATCGAACAATCAATCTGTTGTCCGAATTTTCAACTAGTTACTTCTAGCCTCAGGTAAAACGCTGCAGAGCTACGTGTTGCAAAACCTTCTTTGACGCCTCGTTTGCAATCCTGTATTGGAAACAAAACAGTAGCAAAATTCTCACTGGAGTTCATTGTGTTTGTACATGATTCGACATGAACAGTTTTTTTTTCTATATGTGAGACGTGTGCCTTTTTTACGCATAATTGGTGCACAGCACTGCATTTTACTATGCAAATATATGTTATTATCTTATGTTCCACCCATTCCAATTTTTGGCCGGCACATTATTTGATAGTTTTTCCTCATGTGAAAGCTTTTTAAATGTGCCTTTTTTTAAAAGCGTAGTGATTGCCCTACATTACGCAAATATATGTTATTATTTTCTGTGTATATGTTATTATTTTTCAATTTTTGCCGGTCCGCTAGTACTTTTTTTTCAATTTTACCGGCCCGCCAGGGCAGAAAGATTGGAAACCACTGTTCTAAGTCAGTGTAGGAACGACGCTGTGTTGCAACTTACGATTTATGGACAAACGTTCGAGCCTAGAATAATCTGAAAAGTGCTCCATGCTACACGCTAAAAGTCAAGGTCCGTTGTTTACTACAGAGGAAGAAGATATGTCCATGGTTGGGGAAGTCGGTGTTTTAGTAGAGAGATAAAGAATGTAAGGAAGTACATGGTGCTTTGCAAAGCGCTGGAGGTCAGCACATGAAGACAATACATATGGAAACATTTGTTAAAGCACCCGAATCTATGGGCAAGCGTTAATGACTTGTGCAATTTGGGTAACGTACTTTGTGTTATCTTGTAGTCTGAATATCGAGTACATATAAAAGGAAAAGTTGAAACAATATTCTTTGATTCAATTATTTTTTAAATTGATTGTGTGTTTACAATATTTTCTTTTGTGTCAAACGGTTATTAGGATTAGTCATATTTAAAGGTAAGGCGGCTCAATAAAATGTTATACTGCGCTTCTAGCGTATAGCATGGGGTTAGCATTATAGCAAAATTATTAGTGAAGCAGCGCATTATCGTCACTATGTATATAGGATATACATTATACAGTATAGAGCGAAAGCGGCGTTAGCGAAATGATGTCATTTGCCGACGTTTATCAGAAAATACCGTAGTATGATATAATATATCTAAGTAAATTAGCAAAAGTTTACACAAGATCGGGGACCATCTAAGCTGCCATTTAAACACAGGCGGGAACAGGATCGTTTCTTTGTCCTTCGTCGAGTTTCTCTTTTTGTTTATATGGTACGATTCGACAAATATTATTTTCTTCTAGTGCAGCCTGCAGCCCTGCTGTCTCGCTAATCAATGTGGTAATCTGTCGAAAAAACATTTCGAATTTATTTTGTTCAACATCACGTTGATTGCTCATTGCTTCGATTTTCAAGACTTATTTTGGTTTCAACGATGTCAACAGTCGGTCAGATTACCTAACTGGAATCGAGATTAACCGCATCGTAAAGGATTAAAAAAGAATACAGAATCAACTAAGTTATTCAGTCTGACTAGATTATATTCTAAACAGGAAATGCTGCAAACAGCTTGTCCATTCATTTCTGATTTTTATATCAATGTTTTTTCCGACATAATAGGAAGTCGTTGGACTCGCTGCGCGACATTTGAATCATCCTTCGTTGATACAAAGTGCTGAGCGTTGAGGCCTGCGAGAAGTGTTTTTTGATTTAATAATTACTTCGAAATTATTGATTAAAATGCATCAGAATGGTGTCCGCTTGTATAAAACTTGCTCTAAAATGGACAGAAGCCGTAGCTTCGGCACCAAAGCTGATATCCAGACCGTCGAGACCAAGTATAAGCGACGTTGTAAAACACATCGGATATATAGGAAATTATGTACTGACAAGTAAGTGACACTTTCCATTGTTAAATTGACTTTAATTTACTTGCATGGATCTTTTTTCATGGTGTTATTTTGAACAAAGAAGAGAGTTTTGTTTGAGGTTAAAGCGGAACGGGTGCGTGGATTTCACTATAAAAGTCATTTCAAGTGTGTGCGTTCGAATATGCGAGGTAGTCCGATATTTTGATTCGCTTTAAAACTCAAAATGTATTTGAAAGAATTTCTTAGTTGAAGCGAAGAATTGACCAGCATTGGCGATACGAACGAGAAAGTACATGACCGACTGTGGCCATTTATCACTTAGCACAGGGATGGCCAACTCGTCGATCGCGATCGCCACGTCTCAAGTAGTCGATCGCGTCTGATGTTGAGTGAATTTAATTTTTCACATCAAAAAATTCAATATACACTTATAGTATTTGCGTCTGGGCAAGACCGTTAGAGAGCATAAAATACCAATGTTTGTTATTGTTATATATATGTTTTATGGCGCTCATAACTTCAGTGGTCTTTTGCGCCTTTGATCAATTCAAATTTGAAAATACTAAACTAACATATAATACAATATTTACGAATGTATAATTATACAATTGAATCAATTACAATAAGTAATTATTTCTAAACATTTCAATGTTTAGAAATGAACTTGTCGAATATCGTGTGTCTTGACTGACAAGCGATCCTACAATAACTTCTGCAATACACGAAAGTTATGGTCTCGCTCCAAGAGTAGTGTGATAAATTTTCTTCGCAACGATAGCAGTGGCATCAGAATGCCCAATTTTTTTCTAATTTTCCATTCCAAGCGAGCGACGAATCGGACTCGGCGGAAATTGTAAATTAGATTAGAGGTTTGAGCAGTCATGTAACATTTATGATTTGGGAATATTTATTTTCCGATGTTTAGATAATACACGGATACTTGGCGATGTTTTTGAGAAATTTTCAACACTTACGAGTAAAACTTAGGCAGGTGTTAGATCTGAATTGTGTGATTTGAATAAATCTTAAATAAATTATTAAACATTTACTCCTGGTAGAATTACCTAATCAAATTAACATATTAGGGAACGTAAAAAATACAATTTTGTTGTGTCGATTTCATTGGGAATACACGAAAGGAACCGATCTTATTGGCAGCGGCGGAATTCTTTGTATGGGTGTGCGTAGTTATCTGCATATTGAGCATTCATTCGTTTTTGTGTATTACCTTATTACCGATCAGTAGATTGCGAGCTATTTTGATGATTTCAGTCGATCGCGATCGAATGTAGGCTGGCCACCCCTGAGTCTTAGCAGATTGCAAAAATTAATGCCGTTGCAACTTTTGCTCATCAAATGTAATTGAACTTTTGCTGCGGGTTGGCCATACGGATTCCATCATTCCAGAAAATCATACAGAACTTGTAGCTTTGAAATCACTGTCGTGTTCGCTGATTATCCGACTTTCCAAGAAATGGTTCGCGCGAACTCCTGAAACTCGCCACTGGTTACGGGGTAAATTTTTTCTTATGAAAGTAGCAAGAGAAAACGATAGAAAAAAAGTTTGCAAATCCATGATGAGTAAAATAATTGAATTATCCATTCTTCGGATGCCTCCGAGTCGAATTAGCGATCGACTTATGACTTTGAGGAATCGATATTTTATATTTCCACAAACTTGAGAATCATGCTTCTGTGATCTTCTGACAAAATAATTGTTATATTTCCCTCCAAGGGTTTTAGTACCACGTACATTTATTTATGTTTCATATTTTTAGCGCTGATCAGGCAAACAAAAATGTTTCACACGAAAGTTCCTACAAAGAATTCAAATCAACTGCCGTGGTGAGCAACACTGGAATTTGTTCCACAATAGGCAAAAATATACTACAGGAAGGAGGATCGCTTGTCGATGCAGCTATTGCAACAAAATTGAGTCTAGGAGTTGTGTCGTTTCAAAGGTTTGTTTGCTTTTTTACTAAGGTTGCTAATATCATATATAATGTGGCAAATACAAATAATTCAATTTAATAGCTTACTTATTTTTAACCTTATTTGTTGCGTTTTCAATTGACGCATCCTTATAAACTACTTTTAGACCGTAATTCGGACTGATGGTATTTTTTTTAGAGCAGGAATAGGCGGTGGATTTTTTATGGTTTATTATGATGCAAAATCAAAGAAAGACTATTTCATCAATGCCAGGGAGGTGGCACCGTCTGCGGCATCTGTGGATTTGTTTAAAGGAGACGATTATGCAAGAAAATGCGGTATATGTTATCCTTGAAATTTTGTTGCGTTCTGGACCGCGCATGCCGCTGCCGCACAGTTCAATCATGCGTACTACCGTTTATGTAAAATATTTAAAAATTAGTTTCATCAGAAATCTTCATTCCCCTGTTTGAGTTACCATATCTTATTTGCCACATTAGATATAGGCGAGAGATTGCATACGTCTTCCTCCAGGTCGATCCTAGTAGTGGAAGCTATATAATGAGAGAGATTAAGAATTCATAAAACCATAAATTCATCTAATAAGTCAAAGAAATTTTTAAAGGGTTGCAGTTCTGGGATGAACGTTAAATGCCTTAAACCAGATAAAAAGATTAAAAAATGAATGCAAATTCAATAATCAATCACAATTTCCCAATACATGACAAATAAAAATAAGGTTATATTTTCCTCATGACACCCAGTAGTATAAATATATATTAAAACAAACTTTGTTAATGTAGCGAAGTATGCAATTAGTGAACAGTGTTATACACCATTGAGACGATGTTTAACGCATTCTATACTAGATAAAAAGTAGCATTATCTACAATAAGCATAAATTGGCAACAATATGCTGTTATGTTACTCACGACAAGCGATGGTATCATATTTTTAAATTACTGATTAACGAAACAATTGTTTTAGGCAGATCATCCATTGCAGTTCCCGGAGAATTACAAGGCTATTATGAAGCACATCGTAGATTTGGTGGACTTCCATGGTCTCGTCTATTCCAGCCTGCAATTTACTTGGCAGAGAATGGATTTGAAATGACTCGAAACTGCTATAATTGGTCAAGAGTTTCTATGAAACGACTACCGGAAAATAAACAACTAAGGTTATTTTCCATAAAAATGTTATAATTTTGTTTATAAATTAAAATATAATGCGGTTTTGAACTGTTTGAAATGGTATTTCTTCTCAAATTCATAAAACTATACTTTGGCCTTCGATGAGGTATCTAACTGACGACGTAATTTACAAATGCGAGTGGAAGCAAAGTTGGCGTTTTCTAAGCGACTTCAACCTATGATTTAGTTAGAATAGCGAGCAAACGTTTATTACAGTTGCTTAATTCTAAGTCATCCCTAGTCATTTTTTCACACCCCTTTATAAATAATTAACTCAATAAACTAATCTGATTCTAGAGACCTACTGAGGAAGGAAGATGGTACGTTCTTGAAGACGGGAGATTCTGTTCGGCGTATTCGATTCGCAGAAACACTTCGTACAATAGCGACAGAAGGCCCTGATGCTTTTTATAGAGGATCTTTAACAGAATATATAATGAAAGATATTAATGACGGATTCGGGCGACCATCTATTATAACAAAGAATGATTTGACTAGATATAGGTATTCTATTTTACATAATTGAGCGCTATAACTTCATGCTATTTTTATAGTAGTATTTTATTGAACTAATCTCTCATCACCTAATACATTTACTAATTCGTAGCGATCCCTACGCCGTGACTTTATTTGATGGAGTCTAAGTCAATGTCATTTCCATTTCCTTGTTGTATTTTTCTTCCATAAAAAAATCGCTTTTTTCTCAACTACTAGACCAACTGGTTTGAAATTTTCAGTAGTTGGAGATTGTTGTTGCCGCTGTGAGACTTGATGAATCCTATTGGATCTCATCCAAAATGTCGCAGTTTTAATTTTATTTATGGAAACACGGTGATATTTGGTTTTGACCTTCGTGTTATATATATATTCATATATTTGAGCATTGCTCTCTTGTTTATTTATGAAATTCATACTTTTTTTTGACAGAGCTCTTGTTAAAAGGCCAGTAAAATTCCATCTGGACGACTTGACTTTTATAACTTCGGGAGCACCAAGTGGAGGTCCTGTCCTTGCCCATTTATTAAATATTCTTAAAGGTAAAATTTTATTAGAACGCTGCAAAACGTATACAATCAAAACATGAAGTACTATTAATCATTTTTGTGACATACATTTTGAACTCATCATACTAGTTGGTAGAAAAATTTGTTACAAAAATTGGTTTTATGTAGAAGTCATTGCCAGCATTTTGATATTGATTCTATTTTTCGAATAAAGACAAATTTTCACAAAGGTTATAGATTTACAACGGATGACTGGTGCAACAACAAAGCTCTCACAATACATAGAATGATAGAAGCGATAAAATTTGCTTATTGTAAAAGAAGTAGACTTGGAGATCCCGAAGTGAATGATGAAATCGATAAAGTAAGAATAATTAGAAGCATAATCTGGTAGCAATGAAACACTATCTCTCGCCGGCATTGCAGGAAATATATTATTGCAATTGCCATACGATCGGGGAATAATCTTTTATTTTTTTCGAGGGTTCTAAATTCTAGATGACCAAAGAAATCCCCACCAATAATAACGAGCTTGTATGGAGTATACAGTGCACCGTACCATTCAAGCTATTATTAAAGAAAATCACCGCAGTCAATTCGAATCATTGCTATGGGTGATGAAAAGTTGCTGTAATATATTGTATATACACAAAAAAATTTTTAATAAAAAGGCAATACAAAAGGAGATATAGTATTCCTTACCAAAATAACTAAATTCGTACTAATCTAGCTAGTTGGAGAAATGATTTCGGAGGAATATTGCAATAAAGTAAGAAGTAAAATAGACGATATTCAAACGCACCCACCTGAATATTACGGTAGTGATATGACACACGTTTTTGACGATCACGGAACTGCTCATGTTGGGATATTAGGTGAAGATGGAAGTGCAATCTCGGTGACTAGTTCAATAAATAAACCGTGAGTAAACAGTTCGTGTTGTTAGGTTGGTTTCTTTGTTACTTCCGCGGTCGTTGTTAATACTCGCCAAAAACTAAACGCCCATCCTATAAAAGGTTTTAAGTCGTACTCCAAATACCTTATTGCTCCAGAGAGCGAGAGCTCTTGAGGTCTTTCCCTCTCTTCTAAAGACTCTTAATTTTCAATCTATATTTGCAGTTGGTTTTGAAGCAGTAAATTTCATAAAGGTATTTGCATATGAACATTGTCTTTTTTTCGCAGTTTGTTATTGTAACTGCAATATCGGCATATCTGTAAAAGGATGCAATAAATGAATCATTTGTAGATAAGATAATATAGAGAATCCAAATCGAAGTACGGTAATATATAAACCTCTTTTTGCCAGCTTCTACAGCGTTATTGGACAAAGGACTGGAATTATATTTAACAACTCCATATCAGAATTTTCCAATGAGAAAGGAGTACACGGTAGTCAGTACAAAGTAGTTACTAGTAAGCGTGCAATTCTGAATACACTTCGAATAATTTAGATAACAACCTATATATATTACACTTTCAGAATTTACCCAACATTCAAATAATTTAATCGAACCTGGTAAAAGACCGATGTCATCAATGAGTCCGACTATCATATTAAGGAAAACACCAAATGGATCAAGTGTGAGAATGGTGTTAGGGGGAGCCGGAGGGTCGCACATTATAAGCTCAAGTGCTCAGGTATAGATAAACAATCTTTTTGTACACGAAATGAACATATAGATCGTTTGGTTATTATGTTGTTAATGTTCTTATGCTTGTTGTTATTGTTAGTATTTTCCTTCTTATAGTTATGAAAAAAATCGATTTTCCTTAATCCCTGGACAAATGGTTGAAGATTGTATTTAAGGCTATTATTTTTATTTATTCCTAAATTTTATATGAATCCTATAAGATCTGAAATTTCATCCAAAATTTTGTTATTGTATTTACTTGTTTGTTTTTCACACTGTTCAAATCTCTGGCTAGAGAAGGAGAAACTTACGCGCAGAGGATTACTATTGTCCTAAGGTTGATGTAAACAAACGAGTTCTTGATCCCATCATAGTTTTTTTTTTTTTTTTGGTTCAAACCCAAATATGTTTCTCTCTTTGTAACCCTGATAACATTATTAGCAAGCGGCGTTGAACAAAGGGCATATTTATCATAAATTGTCATATACTATTTCTCATTATATTCTACTATACATCTAACCGGTTCACACAACTCGTAGATAACGTTAAAAAATACACTATACCCATCTTTGAAGACGAAATTCCTTCCTGAAATGCAATTTTTGCATATTTTGTTTCGTAGGCACTTGTTCAAAGGCTATGGTTCAAAAGGAATGTTAATGAAGCAGTCAAGGAAAAAAGAATTCATCATAATTGGCTTCCGGATACATTATTTGTACAAGAAAATACTGACGAGGTTAATTACATATATATAGATTTTGTAATATACCACAGCAATTTGACGTTCGACTTGGCGGCATCAACACTATTTTTGTGTTCAGGAAATCATTGACGATCTGGCCAATCGGGGACATAATATTCAGATCATGAACGACCAAAAATCTTCTGTGCAAATCATAGAAAAATTGAGCGATAATAAAATTGTAGCAAAATGTGATGAAAGGAGGGGTGGTTATCCAAACGGATATTAAGAAGAATACAGAGTATTATCTTGATGAAATTAAGACCTTATTTTTACGTTTATTTAGTTGGATCTGTTCTTTCCCGATTTAGTTCGCGAAACTGTATAACACATATTTATAGGGGGAAGTGAATATTAAAAGTATCCTGCGCCTAAAATACTTTGTTTAGCTAACTATTTTACGTAGCACAATCAAAATGAGGACAAAATTTTACTTTTAACGACTTGTAAACAATGGGTTTTTTATGTATTATATTGTAGCTAAGTATAACACCAAAGTATTCTTTGTAATAATTTCTATATTATTCCCTCGAGATAGCTGACATTCATTAGGTATTAATGTTTCATTATTCGGTCTGCATTACTTTTTATCTAGCTCTGCCTACCACGTTATCTCCAATTTTCAGGCTTGTCCATGGGAATGGGAGTACCATGGGATGGAACCGCACACATTTCTATTTCCCATGGGACACGTGAGACACGAAAACCGTACGATTTTCGGGGAAATGATGGTAAAACATTTCGTTATGAACTTTGTGTCTATATATTTGAGCATAGCTCTCTTGCTAGTTATAAAGAGCAATGGTGACCGTACATTTGAACCCATGTACATTTGAACCCATGCGTATATCCACGGGTTCAATCTATATGCGGGTGCTAAAACCCATGGGTTAGGGTTAGTATGGGTTTAACTATCCGTGACACAAAAAAAATTCTATAGGTGCAATAGCATACAGGTGCAATTGTCATGGGTTCAAATGTACGTGGGTTCAAATGTAATGGAACCAAGAGCAATATATAATATCATTAAAAATATACTTCGTGAAGGGGCTGATGGACACATGTATAATAGGTATGAGTATAACGTTACAAAGTCCGTCAATTTTGTTGTTTTGCATGTCACTTCGTACATGTAGTTCTATTTAGTAGACGCTGAACCTGAGTTTAACCCTTTTTATTGAATTTTATTCCAATGGGAATCCATTCCATGGGATGGGATGGGACAGGCATAATTGCTATGGGAGGGGTATGAGACAGAAAAATATGCCTCATGGACAAGCCTGCCAATTTCTATCAAGTAGTAGTCTCTAGATCAGGGGTTCCCAAACCAGGGGTCGCGACCCCAAATTGGGTCGGAGTGATAAGTAGGTGGGGTCGCAAACAGGTCATGGGGTCGCTGAGGTATGGTGGAAGATGAATGTACAAAACATCTAAGATTTGATAAATTATGTTGTAAACTTGTACCATGGCTTACTGTAAAACAGGCCCATAGGCATCGCTCTATGCTTATGCTATAGAAAGTGTAGGTGCTTATTGCGACATCACTGTTTGGTTTTAGCTCATTTTACTTAATATCACAACATGACCAAACTCAAAAGTCGAATATATATATTGACCTGGGGTCGCACTGGACACTTGAAAGTTGTCTTTGGGGTCGTCCTAAAAAAAGCTTGGGAACCCCTGCTCTAGATTAACTGAAAGTGCGTGTAACGTAAGAATCTTCACTGCATAATTAATATATATTGAATAAATTGAAGATCTCTATTGTGTTCTATTCCGGGATTACAAGGCATTACAGGACTTTGGAAGCACGAACTGAAAAAGTTTAAATTTTCTTCAGCAGTATGTATGAAATTAAATTTTAGTGTATTAAAATCTTTCTCCCAATTCAATGTCCGGCAAAGTCCTCTTATAAGATATTCATAAGGGTCCTGAAAGCAGTAACAGTGATACATGAATATAATTTATAATATATATATATATAGCATAATATTTTGCAGAAGTGGTTAGAATTCAGACAATATCACATTAGTCAATAATCGTAACGAGCAAATAATACTAACAAGTACTAACAAGTTCGACCAAAATCTATAAAATAGTTGGGGTAAATATTTGAAATTGAGATGGACGTGAGGTTTTTCGAAGAATCGGGTAAAATAGTGTTTGTTTGTGGGTAGACACATAAGATGCTTGAGTATATTATGGATATAATATAGACATCATAAATCATAGCTGTGCACAAGAGCGAGAGAGCTTAACAGTGACATCAGGCGACATGAATTAGGCATTTATAATGACGTCATAAATATCATCTTACAAATATTGGTAGGTCAAACGTGTGTAGACCTAATCAAACAACTTCATAATGTTAGCTCTATCAGAGACTATAACTTTTTGCTCAAATAGCACTGGCAGACTCGGAATATAAGCAAGCCATGGTTTTAGAACTACATTCGATCCGATTCCAGGAAAACAAGCACGAACCGGGTTGACCTAGAAAAATAAATCATTGTTGCCTCGAAGGTTGAGAGAAGCTCTATCGATTAAATAACATTGGTCATCTTGGGCTCGGCATGGGATTTGTTGCAAAAAATAAGTTGATTTGAATTATATTTTAAATGAGTTTTTGCTTGTTTATTCCAAATGAAAATTGAACTCAATCCAACCCGAATAACCAGCCCTAGTTTCAACTCTGGCACAAACATGAAACGCTTTGTCTCATGATAAGATTGGCCTGCACAATAAAAGAATACATTGCATGATGCATCTACTTCCCTGAATTATTATATTGAATGATGTCCTCAATAAACTGGAAGACATCATCCGATGTGTGACGCAACTGATATTTGTGACTCATAAAAGTTTTGCAGTTGCTCAGTAAGCGTGTTTCGAGCATGTTTGGAACGTGAGTTTGCATCCTTCCTGCGTACTCGATTCTTGTTGAACACTCTATATTCTGTATGCGTTGACTCGCCGCACGTCTTCTATTCGCGCCCGCCTATATACAATAATGCTATTGTGGTTTAAAACAGTGACTCTATCAGATTGACGTTACTAGGCTTTCTCATTCATTACTGTTATTCAATCGTCACAATAGATATGCATGCAGTAACCATAATGTAATAAACATATTAGGAAGAATGCGAGATTACAATGAGACGTCACGTCTGCCCCGAGTGTGAAAGTTGAATGAAATTATTCGATTCCGAAATAACCAAACTTTACAAACACAATAGCGCTTGGCGCATCAGCCCTAATTTTTGGTATTTCAGGTATAGCTATCTACCCCCTATCTATATAGTCAGGTAACGGTGTCTCCAAAACGTCGTGTCCCACTTGTCCCACCAGGTAAGGTCGTATCGACAAACCGTAATGATTCCGGTTTCCCATAGTTACGTACAGCCAAGTTTGGGATAAAGGTAACAAAACAATTTATACGAATGTGGTTATATATGTGATTGTTTGGAGTGTGAAGATCACTGAAAAGTTGTGCATTGTAAGCGGATTAGATCTTCATATAAAAAATGAGAGAAGCATAATAGTACGAGTTTCCCACAAAGAGTTGTTCGCAATTTGTTTTTTTTTAAACTGCAAATATTTCTTTCAGATAGTCGAAGTACTTTTGTTACAAATTTCAAATATCAAAGTGGTTTAGAATTGTGTTATGCCATATAACGCAATAAACATAAAGCGTAATTATCTATCAAGTCATTTGATCTAATTGGTTTCACTGTCTCATGACACTTATAATAGTAATCATAACCAACTTCACACCTACATGAAATATACTATACATTCATCTCGTATACGTCACGAATTATAATAAACCAGGTTATGTCGAATCGACGTCAGTATATTTATGCGAAATAGAATCGGTCATATCTAAGTTAAGTCGTAACATTTCACGCCTGATGAAATTGTCATCCGATTCTGATAACATTACACACAATGCATGTTTAACACCTTGTTTGGCATTAGGCGCACTGAAGCAGCGTTGTCAGCGTATTGATTTTGCTCACACAGTGTGTGATAGAGAGACGAACGAAGTTCATTGTTAGAACTGAAGTTTAGACGCTGAAGAGTTCTTGGTGATATACATTATACAAGACAGATTGACTCGTAATTTCATCTGTTCAGAATTAAAATTCTGTGGTTATTTAGAATTGAAATTGCCTCAACAATTTTGAGTAATATTTGGTAGCCGGCATATATGACGTTTTAGTTAGTCCAAGGGTTCGTAAAGTTGTGAGTTGTAATGAATATTGGATAATTTACTTTCTGGTAATCCTTGGCTTTATGATAATATCAAAATTGTCCCAAATTGTTCCAAAAAAAAAAATTAAAAAGGTTCCGATTATGCAACCAGCAAATTTTCCGACTGGGTGCCGCTGCTCGGTAACCAAATTTGGTTTATCGCGTCTCCCCTCACCCTGGAAAGCTTTTTAATTATTCATTGCAATTTGTACACATTAAGTGTGTTTTAAGTATGGTGAAAAAATAAACTACTGATCACATTCGTGCAAAAAAAACATGCGCAAACGTTTAAAATTATACTTAGTCCATAGTAAAGAAGAAAACTTCTAAGAGCTGTCAATAAAACGCCAAATGATCGAGATCAGTATGAAATATTACGATTACTTAATTCCAACTAAGTTTAGACACGGGTCAACATACGTATAGATGCAAATTGTATGTGAAATAAACGCTAGTATATGCACACATATTAAGTAGGCTATTTAATATCATTAGGACCCTTATTTGAGCCAGAATTGCCTGATTAGCTAAAAAATATTTGGATCTTTTGTACAAAGCGCACTAATGCAAAAATGTGAGATTTGAAAAAAATACCAATTATCCAGTTAGGGTTAGGAATGATTCAAAATTTTCAATTTCCAGAGTAATCTGCATTTTATTTTATTTTTTTGACGGGGCCTTTATACAAAAGATCTTAATATCTGTGTTAAAGCAGGCTTTTCAGTGTGGCGTCTTGAATTTGGTATTGAGAATGGCATAGACAAAACTGAAACAAAATCCGTTATCGGACTGGTTTTGGGTATTTTCATGTTGTGATCTTAACTGGAGAAGTGAGAACTCGCTTGCCTTAGGTGTTTTTATTCAATCTTTATGCTAATGTGAAAAAACTGCATTACTATGTGTTGGTTTATTGTAGGTTATTTTTCAAATAAGCATATGATGAGCGTTCGCTAATATATGATGTCGCACATCGCATTAGCCATGTCAAAATCGATGACGCCAATCTATAGTCAGCTTCATAATCACATCAGGTGTAATTATCTCCACACCTAATTACTAGTACGCGATATTAAAATGGCAATGTTTCTTGTCAAGGCTACCCAGGATACGCAAGTGCATACAATAAATTCTTTCGAGTGTGAAAAAGCACCAGCAGCTCATGAAATTGCTCTTATAGACACAGGTGAAAAAGCTGTCCGCTTCAATGGCAGACAGATATGTCGAGTCCTGGCCTTGTGGCAAATATTTTATGGACGCATACACGGTGATTCCATTATCTTTAATGAGTCATTATTTGCCTATCAAGTGAAAATAACTCATTGCTAAACATGGAGTAACTGGTATATAGCATAAATAACTTTGCTATGAGAGTAAATTTTACTTGTTTTTATTAGCAGTGATACACCAAATCAAACTGATGTGACTATCGTCATAGTACGTTTTAAACCGCGCATACCAATTTCAGGAAATGACGTAAATTCTTTTTCCTGTCATTCCACGCATGCTGCATATTGTACATCACTGCCATGCAGAGTATGCTATGATAATGTGCAATATTTTGAAAGACGTATGTTGTACGCTGAATTCTATTACGGATCGTAGAAATAATTTTACGACAGATTATTGCTTAGAAAAACAGTCGGAAATTTGGTAATCGTGGGAAAGTATCAATTTGTCTTGATACTCCATCCCGAGACTGTCTTCAATTGAAACCGACTAAACAGTAGAAAATATTACCTGCTGAGTGAGAATTTAGCTGTGGACACAGCAGAATAGCGATACAACTTTATTGTTCAGTGCAACGTAATTTGTAGCTAATTTTGAAAAATTCTATACCCAACGAAATTTAAAAAAGTGATTCAGCTTCCAGAAAGAAGACATGACGATTTAAATTACTGTTTAGTGTTTACTAGAAATATTAGCACGACTATTTCCGCAAATCGTTTGTTTTTATTTTGCTTGAATTGGATGCAAAATGCCCGTTTTTACAAAAAAGGGTTAGTCTTATTTATCACCGTGATAGAAATTAGTATCACTGTATAATACTGTAAAAGCCAGAGCCAGACTATGTGCATTTGTAACAATATAACAACATCGGTTTGTAAGTTTTTCAAAGGGTTAAAATGACCTCATATTAAACTTTATTTCATGTTTAAAATGAAATGAATGAACTCATATACTCCCATATTATCATTATTCATTTTGCTAGGCTATCTGACTGTAAATGATATCTGTCGTTAGACATACTGTGGGGCAATGATTCTCAGTCTACCACCAGTTTGCATCTGTTACCGTTATTCATTATTAACATATCAAGTTGCTTTGTGAAAGTCCTCAGGAAACCATTTAATAATTTGGACGCATCTTCTGAAACTTGTGCTCATGACCCGTGGGAGTTTTATGCACCAAAAATGTAACTCGAGAATAGGTATGTACTGTCTATTTTATAGATTCTCGATTCAACAGGCTTGGACGAATATTAATCATTGAAAGTTTACTTCTAACCGTAACATGATGACCTGTGTGTTTTCAGTCAAGAAAGGAATGTTAATTTAACTAAATTTGGGTCATGTATGGGTCGGCGTAAAATTCAGTTTTATATTACAACCACACCAAATCAAACTTAATTATTTCTTGTCCGACTGAAACTGCAAGTGTTTGACCCGTTACTGTGACAGTTGGGAAGCATTTGTCGGTTTGGCAAGCGTCCATATTTTTTCGGTGCCTATACCTTCGTCTCAAATACATCGCAGTTTACGTTGTTTAGTTTGTGCAATAATGATAGTTTATAAACATGTAACTGCACGATGGCGTAATTTAGCAAGCTTATTTTGATGACCTGCTATTGGCGAGTGAGAACTAAAATAGTGATAAGGACATAAATCGTAAATCATGTTATTTAGTACTATGCTAATAGTACGGAAACGGTTATATTAATTTACTGGCCATTTTAAAGATCAGTGTTTTGTTTTAGTATTCATACATTTTTGGTTAGTAGCTTTTCATTAGCGATAGTCATTGTAAATACATATATTATATCTATTTTCATCAATAGCTGTTTCCGTATTACTTCAAATGCCTTTAGCACAATTAAAATCAAGTAAACTGTTCCCTTGGTCGTGTGAGGAGAATTTCATCAACATGGAGCGCGCACCTGAGTATTGTAAGAGGGAGGTGGGGCATTATAAAATCGTGTTTTTGACAAAAGAAGATTGCATGAGCATGAAACAAAAAAGATGAAGACGTAGTGATTCTTCGACATGATATAAGCTTTCAGTTCGGCACGTTAAAAAATTACAAGTCAAAAATCTTCTTCTACAGTAAACCAACCATTGTGGAACACGAAAGTCCGCAGTCCACAATGTGTCAATAATTAGGCACGAAATAAATTGTCACAGTTGTTCCACGTAAAACGTGACACAAATTTTAGCTTCCGGTTACTGATCTTTTTGAACGGAATTTCTACTTGTTCGCGTAAATTGTTCGGAGCATTGTTACACATTGACACCTGCTGTTTGCCAAAATTAGTTTAAAATACGAGGGTGGATTATCGATACGCTGTTAAAAACAGCTGCAATCATGGCTGAGTAATATTTCGTGGACTCATTCATGAATCGCTATCATATACACAACAACACAATACTTACAAGTTTTGTGAAAGATTAAACACAATGTCGTTGTGTAATATTTCAGTAAATTACTGATATTTTCCATAGTGCTGTATTTAGGACTAAATTCGATGTAATAAAACAACACATTCCATGGAAATTTAACGGGAATTTCGTTTCATTTTATACATTTTTATGACGTAAACAGACAATCGAGACCATACATATTCCAGAATAGTTTCGATAATTAAGACGGACGGAATAAATCATCCATAAAATCCACTTGTTTAAAGATAAATGATCGGTATGCTAGAAAGTCATCTGGACAGGCGTCGAGGCACATAGACCATTAACGAAAAGGGTTGCACGAGTTGCTGAATTCAGACTTTATAGACAACTAACTCATTTAAAATTTGCGATTTATATTCCAGTCATAGGTTTGCATATGTGCTTTCGCCTGAAGTCGTGCTATTTATTAAAAAACAAGAAAATGCGTGGCAAGTAACATACATTTTTTTATGCTTCAAACGATTTTGTTGTTGTTGATATTCGTCTCAATTTTGCCGAATATATTCATGATGCAGGTAGACAACACGCAACAACTTGTCACGATAGTAATTCATCTTGTAACCGGAAGAAAAAGACCTTGTGGTTATGTTTTTAAAGAGAAAAATATTCACGTTTAAAAATTAGCTCAGTGATGTTACCAAAAACTGAGTACCAGAAATATATATCCCGAATACAGCGCTGTTATTTTTAAACAATATTTCGCTTAGCGTGCATCTAGTGGAATCAATATTGTCTAAATATAAATTACGATTAACTTAGTTCAGAGGGTCAAGACGGCGTGTAACAGTGAACAGTATAAAATTAACCTCAAATGGCATTTCCGGCTTGTGCGTGTGCAGCTCGTGGGCATTCGAGCAATGATGATGATGATGTCATTGCCAGACCCAGCCCTCTTTAATTAGTAAAATAAAAGAAGGAAGTTGAGGCACCAGAGACTGCGTTTACGTTTTGGCGTTGATATATGGTTTTTCATCAATTGCCTTACCTCGTCTGTTAGAGAAAAGACAAGCAATCGAATGAACGAGTACAATAGTTAGTAATGAGTTTTTTAGTATCCTCGAGCACAGTTTGTCGTGACAACTTTGTTAATGGGTTCAACTAACCTATTTGTTTGGATGCAAACATTGAACTGTTGTGGCTTACTATGCATTCTAATTAAGTTCCCACATTTGTAGCTATTGTTCTGCTGTCAGCCGTTGTTAAAGTTCAGGCCGCATTTCTACGCTATTATGGTATGATTTTAATAGTTTGGCATCTTTGATAACATCCAACAAACGCTGTGCGCTAATGTTCTATGATTTCAGTAGTTCGTCGTCACCTTTGATAAGTTCCAAGAAACGTTGTGCTGAGGTTTTACTACCAAACTCTCGTATCGATGATTTATCACGATGCATATTAATTGATATTTTAAAAGTTCTAATCGGATTACGCAACTGTTAAATCTGGGGCATATAGTGCCGATAAGGATTGCTGTAATCGTTTCAACTACTTTTCGTCATATTGCAAAGAATTAATCAAGTGTCTACTTTTGTATGTTCACTTTACCCAAAGTAAAAGTAACGTATAGAATAGCCCATTAAGGGAATAAATCTTTAACGAAAATCCACCCTTCATCAACCCTTTTTTTACATTGTGCTTGGGTACGTCTATGGCAAAGTGACTATACTATGTTTATAGTCACTTTGGTTCACGATCAGTCGTTAGATTTCGTTCAAAAGCATTTTTATAGCAAATGAGGCATACGTAGTAACTTCTTGAATGTCAGAAGCGAATCAATTGTGATGTTGTTGAGTGTTTAGCAAGCTGATAGTGATACGTAATGGAACAAACGAGAAAAGTAGTATATAAGCCTATTTTGACAAGCGATACATGAATGACAAATAAGAAAGTAATCAAAGACTATAATTACTAGAGAATGCCGTTTCGTCGATCAACTTATGCGTAATGGCTTATAATTCCATTCTATTTTTGAAATTGATGCTTGCGTAGTTTGAGGTACCGGTCGTTCTAATGAGAATTCATAATATGCCAATTGTTAATTTAATAGTAAGACGTTCGAACCAGTGGTTCTTCGCTTTTTTCGCGTTCACAAACCTGCGAACAGATATTTTGCGGGTGCAATCTTCACAGGTTCAATGTTCCCGACACGCACGTTATAAACTTCATTTCTGAGTTATGCTTTTTATTCGGGCATTTCTATTTTATGTTTTGTTCGTTTCATCGAGTTTTGTGTTTCCATAAAGCCGAAATGAATTGTATTATATCATGCAGAGGCGTCAGCGCCAATTGGTGATTTGCTACTGTATTTTGACTCGTATGCCGCTGTGCCGTGAGCAATTCCACCTATGGCAGTATGGCTGTATGGTAAGGGAACGACTTTCGTCCATCTAAAGTCAGAAAGTTGGGATGTAACAGTACGACGACGCATAAATCAGTGAATAGGCTTAGTTCAGTACCGTTAGTTACTTTCGTGACATACAACTGTACAAAGGTACATCCTATGCATGTGCAGTTATGTCAGTATATTTGAATTACAGCCATAGCCTACAAGGACTAACAGAGACCGAACTTTACATTCTGACATACGTCATACGGTATGTCGGTACTGCCATATACGTCTGTACGTAGGATATCGGTACGGTACTTCATTTGACAGTTGAACAATTGGAACCGTAAACACTGTTTTAATCTTTTCCAATTGTATTTTTTCCAGTTTCCAGTTTTTGATATTTTAACTTTGAAGCTTGTTATATATATTAGTTCATCATACTTTTTCTTGAAGATTGTATTGCTGTTCTCGCATCTCATCTAAACCATAATTCGGACTGGGACTTATTTTAGTATTGTCGGTATCCTACAATGCCTAAACATTTCACAAGCCAGTCAATCAGATCATGACAAAAATGGGGTAAGTGTGTAACTGTACATATACTTTGTGGTCTATATGAGCATTATCTGTACTGAGGAGACTGTAGCTAGTCAGTAACTCTACTCGAATCACCTTGGCACTCTGGAGTGTCGTGACTCGACTTCGCACTCGGGAATGTCTTGACTTGGCATTCGAGAGTGCAGTGACTCGACTTGATGCCCAAAACACTGTATTATTACATTATATATCAGTATGGGAATTTGGATAGTGGAAATAGCTGAAACATAAAGCATTCTTGAATTACCATGCAGGGTAATGCAGCCATATCGTCGATTGTGAGGAGTTTAGTAGGCTATTTCACACATAATTATCATCTACAGGATTCAACACTGCAGACTCTGGCAGTGTAATTAGTGGTAGATCATATGTAACAGCACTTCGCACTCCAACCCCTGAGGATACACAAATGTAAATAATTATATGAATGACTAGTACTAACAGTCAATAAGCCTGAGTTAGCCTGTAGTCTATCTAGTTATAAAAACCTACTTGTTATTGTAGTATTAGATTGTTGACTCCATGACTTTGTGACAGACAAATATATATTATGAGGGATGATATAATAATAATATATATAATATAATAATATTCATCATTTGACTTGTTTTTGGCTGCCTTTAATAGGAAGAAATATTGTCATATTTCATTTTCTGAGCATCATTGATATCCATTTTTCCTGTTCTGTGCAGCAGTTAATTTCTTCATAGTTGTTAAGTTATATAAACTCTCGAATAAAATGTAAAGGATTGCTGGACTCCTCGTAGCCGTAAGGTGGTTCACGTAACCGATGGTCAGTTACAGCTACCTCCATCAAGTCCATGCATTGAAACAAATAACTGGCTAACTGTTCCCATACATGACATGGACTAGTAACCGGACGAGAGGCTGTGTTCCAACATATGATTAAGTCATCTTAGCGGCTTTCTTCTCCCCCAGGATAAATATGTGAATTTTGGTGAACTATCACACTTTGTCCAATGCGATCAGTTTTTAGGTTTTATAAGCTTTAGTTGGATGAAATGATTCTAACAATAAAAATTGTTTGATTTATACAGTTTGGAATGGGTAGAAATTGTTGAGCCCCGAACTCGGGAGCGAATGTATGCAAACCTTGTAACTGGAGAATGTGTTTGGGAAGTACCTGATGGTGTCTCAGTAAAATATGCAAGTGAAAATCAATGGTGAGTTTCATTTTTACTTATCAATAAAAAAGCTTATATACTTGAAAATTGTTTTCTTGTATTGTATATGGTAGTCACTGCAAGAGTCGAAAAATTTTACTTATTCTGCGAATATAAACATCGTTTGTTTACATTTTGTTTGTTCCTCAACAGTGTTAACTTGAATTGATTCAAGTTTCATGTTGAGTTCTATCTGACTCCCATATTGCAGGGTTAAACTTATATACCGCTCTTAGTATGCTACTGGTGATCAGCGATATCCCTATAATTTACTCTGGTAGCAGTAGCACCCAATAACTAATGAGATTTATCATATTTTGTTCATTAATTTTAGGTGGGAACTGTTTGATAGTGTTTCATCGAGATACTATTATTATAATGCAACTACACAACAAACAGTATGGCACAGGCCAAAAGGAGCTGACACAATACCTCTATCGAAATTACAAACACTGAAAGAAAAAGGAAGTGATGTCACGCCACAGACTAAAACTCAAAAACACCATAGGTAATATATAATGGGTTTTAAAAAGGGGCTATATTATTTTTTTACAGCATGCATAATGTAGTTGTGGTTTTCCTATGAAATTTGCTACTTCAGCATCAAACTCATTGAATATACCAAATATTTTAATAAGGAAGTTTGGCATGCATCATGGCTTCATGAGATTGCAAATTTTAACTATTTGCATTTTATAGAATCTTAAATGCCAAGCTATTTTGATATGTGCGGGTGTGTGGGCTTAGTGGTTAATAAAGCACTAGACTTACCGTAATAACTCTGGTGGCATCGCGAGTTGAAAATTTTGGTTCAAATCGCATGTCGATCATCTGAACTGTAATAAATTGGTAAGCAAATCGGAAAGATTCCAGTGTTTTTAAACTATAGTATATGTTTACCCAGTAGTGGCGGCTTGTGTAGAGCATTGTCAGGGAAAACACTATAATTCGTCTTACAAAATTTTTTTTATAGATATTTCTCACAATAAAGCATACGTTAATACAAAACCATGCCATCTATAGATTAATATTCTCTATTCATGATAATATACAATTGGAAGTTTCAATTAGATGGAAAATTGTTAAAATATATTTGCAATCAATTCTTAACATACCTTTTTAGAAGAAAATCAGCTGGATCTACTGACTCAGATTCTCCAAATCATTCAAATGATCGAAGGAATAGGAGAAGACACAGAACATCTGGCCACAGAGTATCACAAGAAGTAAGGATCATATTTGATTTGGCTATAATTTTAATAATATATACTTATTTTATTTATTTTCTATGCCTCTTAGCAAAGTTTTACACCATACTACTGTTTTTACTTCTTTTACCTGTAATTATGCCTGATTAAGAAAATGGGCCCAATTTTGAGAACTACCTGTATTTATCTGGCAAATTTGTGTGCAACACAAATGCTGCAATAAATAGTTCAATCATTCTGTTTCTATCAACTCAATATTTTTATGATGATGTATTTTTGACAGTCAGACTCAGAAATCATTTATTCCTAACATAGCCGATTTCAGTTTTTTTAAAGTATGCATACTACTATGCTTTATAGAATAGTAACTAATAATTATATCTGTTAACATAGCGTAACTCTTGGTATTTTTTAGAATATGAGCATGGCAACTTCATACAATGTGAAGCTAAATCCTTTTCACTATTTTATTTTTTTTTTCTGTCAATGCTCAAGTTCGAAATCTTGTTTTACAATTAAGCCAATTATAACAAACAAGTGCCTTGTAATTAAATGTGGAAAGAATCTCATTTTGGATTCAAAAAACCAGCCAAAAACAAATAAATTAAGCAATAAGCATGCATTTGAGTAGTCATTATCTACTTGAAAACATCTATGGTTTTAAATTCTTCAAGCATCCAATAAATTTTAAAAATTTAAAGACTTGAATTAAGCCAAATTTGTCAATTTACATTGCCTTTATTCAAGCACTTTTTTATGAAATTTTTCTCTTGAATATGAATGGATAAAATAAAATATAACCATAAATATTATATCACAAATCACAATCTGATATTTTGCATGTGAAGTCATAACCAAGAACCGAATTAGAATATATATACAAATATATTCAATTCATTTGTGTAGGCTATTGTTCTTCCTCAAGATGCTTGGCAGTTGAAAATTACATATGCTGCTATAATATATACCAGTGATATTTTCTTATCCAAAATTGATTAAAAGAGTCGAACGCTCCAGTGGCTCCACTCTCAATATTGTTAATTAAAATTTCTTATACATTGCAAGAACGTTTTCTTATCTGACTCGTCAAATCCCTGCCTAATTGGGAAAATTATTAAAATAACCTCTATTTTTATATCTAGGGTGGATCAAGAATCTCAAATGGAAAATTGGGGAATAATCTGACTACGATGAAATATCAGTCCAAATCATCTGACTCTTTAATAACCAACAAAGAAAACAGGCCAGACTCAAGAGGTCAAGGGTCATTAGATTCAAATGAGACAAAGCCTAAGCATCCAAGAATTGGCTCTGGATCAGGGCAATCACAAGAGATGGCAAGCCTTCCTCCACCATCCCCTGAAAACCTGAATGCATCAGCAACAAGCGGACCCAAAACAGACTCAACCGCACAAAATAGACTGAGTGGTCACATCAGGTCCAAATCACATGACGGATTATCTGAAATAACTGGAAATGCTGCTAAAAATACAAGCATAGAAAAAGGATTTTCATCAGTGAAAACAAAAATTGACCGCAATTCAGGTGTAACAAAAAGTCTCAGTTTTCCACATTCTCAGCCTCCACAAGGTAAAGTATTGTCAGTTACTTATTTTCAATGACTAAGATTATTATGTTAGGTTAATACCACCTTTTCTTTTTTTAATAAAATATCAACTTTAACTACAAGAATTGAGCATGTACAAATACTACGATAAAAAAGCTGTTGAAATTTGAATGATAAACCTGTTAGCTATTCCTATACCTTAACTCAAGGCATTGTGACCAACTCATATGATTGACCTACATAGTCTTATCTTCTTTCCTCTTCTCCAAGATAATATGAAATATTCTTTTTTACTTTGTAACATGTAGGTTTCAAGAAGATGTCGAAGCGCCCATCAAATGCTGTTGCACCAGAAGCATTGGCATCATTTGCCAAGTCTAATCTTAATGTACACACGAAAGGATTATTACGGAAGAAAATTACCATTCATACCATGTTATCTTGGACAAGGGAACCCATCAGAAAACCTATGATAATGACTAAAGATAAACATGTAAGATAACAAATTCAATCAATTAGAATCTGTACTAAGAAAGTTCTGAAGATTCACTACCTTATAAATATTTTCTTGATCTTATTTACTTGAGCTTTGTCAAGTCCTGCACCAACTGGTTCTTACTAATACGTTATGCTCCACCATGGCTCTGTTTAGTCCTAGTAGATGTTGACACTTCTGTGATCGCTCATAACTTGCTTAGAGATCAGTCGCTTTTATTTCAGAGTGAGTGCCCATAACTCTGCTTTAAACAACAACAATTTTTGTGACCAAACAACATAATTACCCAGCAATTGACATTATTAAGGAATAGAATGCATTTTAGTTTGGTGTGCGGGAATACTAAATTTACAACACTAAAATATAATAACCTTTAAATATTTCATTGAGTTTTTTTGGTTAATTTGATCAACTTCTCGAAAATGTGTTCAACATTCTTCTGACTACCCTGCTACATTTTATGATATAAAATTTGGGTCAGTCTTAGCCTCATATTTTTTATTATTTAAAGACAAATTATTTATACAAACAATTTGGGAGATCCAGATTCAACAATTTTATTTGTTTTTATTTAGACCAAGAAAGAAGCTATTGAAGTTTTCAAGTTAATTATGGCATACATGGGAGATAGGAAACTGAGGAAGAATGACAATACTGCCATTGCACTTGATATCGTTACAAAAGGATGGCAAAATACATGTAGGGATTGATTTTTTGTTTCTTGTATTGCTAGCTTTTTGTGTGGTTCAGAGAACTTATTTTATAATGGGGTTCTTTGTATCAACAAAAGGGGAAGTATCATATTTATTCCAAAAATAGGATCATATATCAATATGTTTAGTTGGAGCATATACACACCATTGGGATGAGATAGAATGAAATGTCTCACACCCTTAGTGCATTGTTGGCCCCTGGTTGTATGCTGGACCTAAATTTATGTTGGTTATAAACACTGGGTAGTTGTACATCACAGCACCATTTGGGCATTCAAATTATTACAACAAAATCTTTCTATAGTAAATTTAATTCCATTCAAATTGGGTTGTTTAATTGCATCATTTATACCTCATTTAATTTTTCTTATTATCTTCAACAGTTTTACGAGATGAGATCTACATTCAGTTATGCAGGCAGACTACTGGTACGCCACGTGAAGACTCATTGGAACGAGGATTAGAATTGTTGGCAATGTGTCTTGCATTTTTTCCACCATCTATCAAATTTCATTCATATTTGGAAGGATATATTTTTACCCATCTTGATATGCCGGATGTTAAAGGTTTGTGGGTTTCTTGTGGTTTTTGTCAAGAAATATGTAAATCTTATTCTATCCTAATTCATTACTCATTCAATTTTGAAAATTGCTCAGCATGCACCCTCATTGTGGGAATATGTAAATTTTGTGGCATTTCAGGCAGTGTCTATTATATTGCGAAAATAAACCATACTCAAGTATAATTCTGTAAGATATGTCAAACCAAAAAATCAGTAACATTCTAGGCTTTCCAGACTACGCTTTTTCTTCTATATGACTACTTGTTTGGAGAAAGCCTCAATGAATGAAAAAATTGTCTACAATGTCTTGTTTTAGGTGTAAAAGTGAGCGAATATGGGAATGTCTGTGTGAAAAGATTGACAAAAATCCTTCAAACTGGGGCTAAGAAGGTAAGTAAACAAGGATTAACACTTTACATAGCTATAATAATTAGGGTTTTTGTGACTTAGATTTATTTGGTCGGACTGTGTGATTTTAAACAGTTTTTACTTGTTGATGGTTGTAAAATTTAATCGCTGTCTACTAATTAACTTACAATTATATGAGTTGTACAACTTGTACTACATTAATCCAATAAACAAACACAGTTTTAGTAATTGTACACGCGTTTATGGCATTTTACCTCATAAATTTTTGTTTCAATTATTATAGTCTGTCCTAGTTATTTGTGATACTATCACACAAAAGGAGTTTTTGAACAAAAATGTGATACAGAATTGAATGTATCTATATAGAAATGTGCTGATGTCATTATTTACCATTGTTTATGATAGGAAATCACATATGTTTAGTGCTGAAAAATGGGTTTAGCACAATTACTCATTGTGTCTCCTTTTGCTTTTAACATGCATCGTACACAGTTTAAAAATTGTTTCAGCCATCTACTTTATTTTTAATTGTTCATTCAAATACCACTTGACAATATGGGAAATTTCCAAAATCAAATTGAAATGCATTAATACTGCCATACAATTCATAAACAGTCAATTCATCATTTTATGATTGTTTTGTTTAAATCCTATAAAATTTGGGAAATTGATATAGTTTAATGTGTAATGTGTTCAATGTGTCCCAAAGCGGTAACTATTGGGCCATCTCACCCACTCACGAAATTCACTTCCACTATCTTTCACTCAGGGTAACAAGAAACCAACAAAAGATGAAATACTTCAGGCACAGAGATCAATATTTAATCCATCTATGTTTGGAAATACATTGCAAGAAATAATGGCTCTCCAGGAAGTAAAGTAGGTTGATCTTAGTCTTAGACATAATCTTTGTAATTTGTCTAAATTCTTAGAGTGCATTGATTCTTTCATGTGCTATCGCAAATCTCTCATCAAAAAGACTAAATATGGAATTAACTGAGGCAAAACTTTTTTTAAACCAGATATCCCGACAGGAGATTACCATGGATAATGACAACTTTATCTGACTACGTTTTGAAGCTCGGTGGAAATAAAACAGAGGGTATATTCAGGTATGAATAATTGTGCATTCGTTTCTGTATTTATATACAGTTAAAACTGCTGTTGGCCTGTACGAGTACTAACATATGTATGCTATTGCTAACTGGTGCTTTATTAATATTATTCTTACAGAGTTCCCGGTGACATTGATGAAGTCAACACATTGAAAGTGCAAATAGATCGTTGGGATGTGCCAGATCATTTGAGAGATCCACATGTACCAGGTGAAGTGTTGGATGCTGTTTTTTTTTTTTTTCATTTTTTTATTTTAAGCTGAGCGATTATTGTCGCAGGTCAAAAAGATAGCACAAAATATACTGAGTGAAGTTGCCTCTAAATACAGTTATATAATAGCAGATTGATATATTTTAGATTTTTTTATGCCGAAGTTTCCTTATTGTTGGTATCTAGGCTAAATAAGGGATAATATACAAAATTTAGTTGAAGTGAATTTTGTTGTTGATTTCCTCAAATTTAGCCTTGACAAAGTTTTCGACGAATGGTTTCCAATGGCCGGTTGTCTTTAACTTCATTCTGGGTACATTTTTCACTTCTGAGTGATTTCGTTTGACCTTCACGTTAGCCAATGTTTTCTAAAACATACTAGCATAGTTAAAAAAAAAATGGTGGAAACTGGAAACTGACAAATGTAATTTACAAAAAAAAGTTTTCGTTCTTTTTATTTAACTTTTTCCCCTTTATATTCTCAGGGTCTCTGCTCAAACTCTGGTATCGTGAATTAGAGGAACCTTTGATTCCTGACCAATATTATGATCTTTGTATAACACATTTTAATTCACCTGCTGAAGCAGAAGCTGTTGTTCATTCATTGCCTGAAATCAACAGATTATGTCTATCATATTTAATCAAGTTTTTACAGGTATGTCCTCCTTTTTGAGACAACGTTTTGAATGAATTGCTGATTTTGATCATTTCAAATCTTGAAAATATGTTTTTGTAGTCAAGCATCGTTGTTTTCAAATTTCATTTCAACTTTGCCATATCTCCATAATTAGAAGTTAATTACCATACTATTGATGTTTATTATGTAAAAGAATTAATTTCAATTTTACTGGTAAAAATTTCTTAAAATGTTAATAACTTACAATCTTATATTAAATTTACAGATATTTTCACTGCCAGAACATTCTTCAGTCACAAAAATGGATTCTAATAATTTAGCAATGGTGATGGCTCCTAACTGCCTACGATGCGATTCTGACGACCCAAGAATTATTTTTGAAAATACCCGCAAGGAAATGTCGTTTATTCGAACCTTAATACTAAATATGGATACTTCATTCATGGACGAAATATTGTGAGCAATTTGGATGGAGAATTTTGACAATTTTTGACGAGATGTTTTCATTTGATCTATTTCTTAGTTAGCGAAGAAAGTGTTTTTGTGCTACTATTGCACAAAGCATGATTAATGCCAAGCTGCAGGGTATAAGGTTTAATATTAATTATTTCTTAAACTTTGTTTTATTCCTTGTATTTTATTAAAAAATATCCTGACCAATTTGTTAAGATATGTCGCTCATTTTCATCAATTAGTATATTCATAATTAGGATTATAGTTGAGAGTAATTCTCGTATTAACTAATCAATTTTCGCTCTACTATAGGACAAAACTGGCAGGTAAATTGTAAAAAACTGATGATAATTTGAAAGTTCAGAAGCTATTTGTTATAAGATTGCTTATCTGCTTTTGATGGACTGCTTAATTACAGGGATAACTATTAACTACAACCCATGTTCAGCGAAGAAAAATTGGAATGCGAGTTTCCATTCACCCATAGGCCATTTCTCTTTTTATTTTTTATTTTTTTCTGTCAAGTGAATTGTATTCACATATTAGAAAATAATGATATCCTGCATTGATGTTGTACAAATTATTGCCGTAATGAAAAAGTATTTAATTACTTTTGGTTTGTATTTTACTTTTTTGTTTTCTTACTTTTGTGAATTTTAAATTGAGATTTTTGATCATACATATTCCAGTTTTCTGTCGCTTTTAAGTGTTCTTACATTATATTGAAGGGTATTTTTTTCATTTTTTCCTTAATGAAGTTATCACATTTGATGAAATTTGTTTGATGTGTTTAATAGTCAGAGCTGCCAAATTGCTCTGAACTGGGCACTGCACATTGAAGAGTTTTGACAACTTTGCTTTTGTATCATTTTAAAATAAGTTGAATAACACTTCATCTCAGTACATAATACTTGAACATGCCAGATATAAAAATCAATGTTGTCTACTAAACCAAAATACCACATTTTTTCGATATTCTTCATTTTTAATATATTTTTTAACTGAATCATAAATGTGACATAAAGATTAGAATTCATATTTTCGGCATAACATTTATTTTAGATTTTTACACAACTTTCAAAACTAGATATCATTGCTTTAATGTTGAAAGTAACAGATGCCAGTTTTATGCTAACTGTGATGGTAATATTTAATTGAAAAGTTAGTATTTATATTACATTGTTATTCAATACACTATTTGAGTTTTTCACAATAATTGCAATACTTATCATTTGAATCTTACATTCCGTTATAGTCTCTGGTAAATGGAATATAAATATAAAATGTATAACTACCGGTACCTATGTGTTTTCGAAAATTGACTATAAATTTGAACAATTCCCTATCAAGGGTATATTTGAAATCATTCCGTGATATTCATTAAATGTCTGTGTGGTAAGGTGCAATATTAAAACTGAAGAAAAAAAATCATCAAAGGTCATTAACAATTGTTACATGGTGTATGACATCATAATGCAAATATGAAGCAGTCCTATCAATATTTATATTGTAAATAATCTGTTCATTTCAGTGTCTGAAAAAGAGTATTTATTTTTTATTTGCAATGCTAATCAATGTATGTTGTACACATATTCGTATAAATTTTACTACAAACAACAATCTTTTTTATGATTGTTTTGCTCTATAAAAGGCCATAAACAAGTACTGGCAGCGAATGAGCTACCATGTTTTCTAGATTTGACGGGAATATTTCTATCCCCTACTCGGAATTGCTCACCAAATTTTATTACACTCTGTGTGTTATGGTTGGCTCTCATGCGGCACTTAAATACAGTGGCCCATTTTTTATGTCACAATTTTTTTTTTATAATTTGGGGTAGCGGAATGATTCCCAGACAATCTGGCATTCCAATTCACAATAGCTGAAAAAGTTTTAAGTACATTAGTTATTCTTGCATATGTCATGTCATCGGGTTTGGTGTATACCAGTTAAAATGTCCAGCTTCTTGAATGTCTAAATTAGCATTTACATAGCTAGTATATTTGTAGGGGATCCTTTATAATATTTTTTAAATTTGCTGTTTGAGCGCCTCTTATCAGTATTTTTAAACTGAATGTATTATAACTAAGGTTGTTGTTATAAGATAATGTTTTATAATCAAGAGTTTTTTTTTTGTTATTACGTTTTACTTTGATCAAGCTAGTTTACTATTATAATGTATAGTTTGCCGAAGAGAAATTGTTTTCTGCCTAAAACGAAAGGTGTACATTTGTGCTATCTTGTACCAGAATCAAATGGGGGGGGGAGGTGGATTCAAGTGCTTGCAAATGAGCCGTGAAGGTAATACCTATTCTGAGATATCACTGCAATTTCTCAGACAAAAGATATTTAATTTAACCGTTTTGTCAACATCCAGCCTGGGAAGTAAATGTGTGGCCCTGGTGTGATACTAAATCATTTGTCGATTTAGTAGCGCGCTGGAGGTAAATGACCATCGACGCCTTGGTATTATGGAATTGAAAATGGATCATAAAAAGCTTTTATTGAAAAAGTACAGCAAAAAGCCAAACGATATATAATGAGCAAAAGCTTCTTCGCTGCAAAGTATTATTATCTGACGTGATGATGAACTCCGACGTTCATGATGTGACCCATAGTTACAAGTTTGTGGCAAAGTTAATCAGTAGCGCGCCTGGTGAACCCTCTAGTGGATTCATCAAAAATGATTCAGTTCTGACCTGAACACCCTACCCTTGTGTCTAGTTGTGTTTGCAACTTTACTCAATATGCGATCTAAAAGTATTGTTTCACCCATCTCAGTTTGAAATACTCGATGGAAGTCTGATTGGGTAACAGTAACAAAGAATCGTTTTTAAGGTAGTCAAATCCAGTCCAGCATTCTTCTATGGCCGACGTTGCTTTGGCCATAACATCCAGCATGCTTCTCAGTCGTACACCGTGTTTTGCAGTCGTCTTTTTGCATAGATAATTCGTTTGCAGCACTTCTGGTCTGCAGTAGGAAAGTCCGATAATTTGACACGTCCTGTAATTTGGTCACGTCCGATTGCGCCCAGCTGAGCGCTAAATCATCACTAAAATGTGTCGTGATTTATGAAATTCATAATCGGCCTTGGCAGTGGCAAGTCGTCAGACTCAAACTCGTATCTTCTCGCGACTTTACGAATCTTCAAACGACACAGATGAGAAAGTCGCCTTGGGTTGCCTGTAATAATATTCAACCTCATTACACTTGGTATATATATCTACGAAGGTTTAAAAGGTTCTAATATTTTTTAAGAAGATCGTTTTTATCAATTATTGTTTTTATTCTCGTTTGGGTCGTTGTTGTTAAAGAGTCGCCTTTTTCGCAACTAATAGATCAATCGTTTCCAAAACATACATATGTTAAAGTCACTAGAAGGCTATTTTATTTTTCTTTAATTTTCTACGGTTTCCAAATGCTCCGAGTCTTGGGTAAATTTTTTAACTCAAGGGCACACATGTGACACATTTATATGACATTCCACTTTTATTTTCTGTTGAAAAAGGATGTGAAGTATAGGGCTCAAAATATTCAGTTTAATTAAATAATTTAAAATCAGGCACACATGCTGTACACAATTACGATTAGGTACATGTAAAAATAAAATGTTACATAACACATGAACATACCGACGATCTCTTCAATTCCTTCCCATTCTTCCGTTTGTTCCAACATTTCCCTCATTCTGCTGCAAAGTCGCACATTTGATACGAATTGGAGCAGCCGATGGACAGTCCATCCTGCCCATTCAGCTGTTCTTTCTTGTGACAGGAAATGGCAGAACTGTTATGATAACATAAAACGTTAAACTTTATTTTCCTGAAGAGTGTGCTTGACTCGGTAACATTTTAAACAATTATTTCAGACTGGTATTGAGTCGAACACCTTACCTCGCAAAATGTGAAATCATTCAACACCTCAACTTTTTGTGTTACAATAAAAGTTGGTTGTAAGATGTACATTTTTTCAAAATGACAGTGGACTAAAACACAAATGCGTTAATTTTTTGTGTTCTTACCGATTTCTTTTGTAAAGATTCTTCGTATCTAGAATGATCTTCTTCTCCTATAAGGCATACGAAGCATCTGGCAACGTCACATCCAGCGAGCAACAATTTACGAAACATTCTGAAATAAAAATGGCTTAGTGGTTTGCGAAAGTATATATACGTTTCAAAAATGTGATGAAAAACATACTGGCCAATTCGTGATTGAACGTTCGCACAAGGCTTATAAAGAGCTAGAATCTTAATACCTCGGATCTTTCACAGCAAACGCAGCAGTAGCAGGATACAAGGCACCTTCTTCAGCAAACGAAGCGTTCACATCAGCTCCATGTTTTATTAATAAGTCAACAATTTTGTACTGGCCATGAGATTCGGCAACAAGAAGAGGCTGAGGCGCGATTGGCATCATTATAAATTAAGCAGAAAAGCGCATGAAAATAATGAGATAATATCATTATATATCTATATACATATATATATGAATATGATGTTTGTAAACTAAAATAGTAAAAGTCCAATCCTTTGTTTATCATATTCTGGATAATTATTGCTTACTCGAGTTTTCTACTTCACCTTGACATAATCCAATTCGGTATTTGCTCCAGCTTTCAATAATAACTCAGTCGTCTCTTCAGAATCGTTGTAGACGGCGAAAAATAAAGCTGTCTGTCGACGATCTCTGTGATACGACCATATTACATTATTGGGTTGCAATAATGAATACAAAAAATGGATCGAGAGAGAATCTTTTCTTCCAAAATCGTAACTTTTGTGACAGCCGCTTTACTTTCTTTACCTACGGGTCATTTTTGACTACGTAAACTACTATTAAACAATGATGAATGAAATTTTAATTAAAAGACTATTGTTTGTCATCGAGAAAAATTGAAATTTCAAAATAAAAAATCAAACCTATATGAGATTTTGTCTTTCTTTATCTTTATGTTGACATCATATCCATGTTCAATCAGAAGTTCCAAAATTTCAATTTCATCCTCTTTGGCTGCAGAGTGCACAGGACTCATACCGCAATTCTCGACCAAAGATCTGTCGGTTACTTTCAGGAGTTCTTCGACAAGTCTGAAATAAAGCATAGAGGGTTTTCGATTTTTCTCAGATTCCTTAACAACCACAATTCGCGAAATTATAACATCACAGATACGGGTCAAATTAAAAGTTACAAAATGAGTCATTATTCACAATTTGAGGTTGCGCAAATACAGATGCTGCACGCCTTCGCTCATAAATCAGTCTAGCCAAACTTGTTGTTAATAATCCTGCAAATCGGAACAAGTTTGAGAAAAAAGTATTTACTCAATAGATCCTTTGTTGCAGGCGATGTGTATAGGATACAATCCGTCACAATTTGCAATGTGAGGATCCGCTCCTTGTTCAAGAAGTGTTATCGCACAATCAACATGGGTTTCTTTACAAGCTTCATATAACGGAGAAGCTGCTTTGCTGGAGGCGCAAAGATTCGGATCCCCACCTGCAACAAAAATGTGTGAATACTTTTCTCGTAGCAGAAATACTCGATTTGAAATAGAAAGTATACTAACCAGAACGTAATAGCAAATCCAAGCATTCATTACGTCCACATGCTGCACTTGTGAAAACAGGACTGATTCCATAAACATCGCGTATATTCGGATCCCCTCCAAAGTTGAGAACAATTTCTAATATTTCACAGTTACCCTGTAAACAGCATAAATGAATACACAACATAATATGTTGCGAAATCAGAAATGACAAAATTGAAAAAGTGGGAATTTTTTCTGTATCGACGAAATTATTTCCGAGTGAGGTCTCTCAGTCCGATAGCCCAATCCTAGTTCAAGTCTAGTCCTATCTTCAAGAAGACTTCTAGTCGAGTCAATTGCGCCATTGTGCGCTTTCTCTTTAAATATTATTTGTTTAACTTATGTTTTCTGACTTCCTACGAGGTAATAGGCCAACTTACTCTGTAAACGCACTCGTGCACCGCTGTCCAACCTCGATTCAGCGCTTGGTTTGGATTAGCTCCACTTTTCAGTAAAAGTCTTGCCATAACACGGTGATCGTTTTCAATCGCAGCTTGAAGCGGAGTATCTTTATTTGTTTTTCCACTATTCACGTCCGCCTTTAACAAAATGATTTTTTTTTAATTCTGTGAAAAATATCTTAATATTAACCCGTATTAAATTATTTTCTTTCTGTCTATATAAAAAAAACATTCACGTGAAACAATAATTTAATATCCTAATTAATTGAATACTCACTCCTGCAGCCACAAGCCTACGAGCAGCGTTGATGTTTCCTTCTGTGGCCGCAAGAAACAATGGAGTCTCTCCTTTGGTACCACGCGACATTACCAACTCTGGCATGCCTCTGGATAACATCAAAGTGAAATAAATCAGTATAACCTAAACTATTTCACACCACTATCTAACTGAACTGAAAGAAAGTCGATTTCTATACTAAATTTTTTTAACAATTGTATTGAACACTAGGTTAAATATGATTGCATAGAGAACGTATCATTGGACAAATCAGTATCTAGGCAAATTTGAAAAACGATTGATGGCATGCTATACGTATAATGGATGTGTGCAATTAAATAAAACGAGTATCGACACAAAGCTTCTTTTTATTTGTAGATTACAAAACATTATACTTAATTAAAAACAATCTTTTTTTAGACGTGATAAAAATAAATAGTTATCTGGGAATCAAATATATATACAAACCCGACTATTTCTTCCAAACAGGTGAAATGATTACGTGTAACGGCAATATGGAGAGGAGGATTCACATCCTTACGTTTATTGTTTAGATTCTTTATATATTCTTGATTGTGATCAAGAATAGCATTTTTCACTTCACAGCAATCAGTTGAATACGTTGGTCTTGGCCTGCTTAATAAAACGTCATAAGTTATGAAGGACAACTGTTTACTTTGTATTCATTTCGTGAAATAACGGTGTAGTCTGACAGGAGACCATTCAATTGATTATGTCATTGTTTTACTTACCGGAGTGGATAAGGAAATTCATATCGTTATCCAAAAAATAGGGCAATGCATGGGTCAAAATATCACTCTAGATATATTACTTAAATATTCTTCTTCGAGTATTCTTGCTTCAGATCAAAACAATAAAAAGAAATCGGGCTTTCTAGCTATTTTTAGAACGTATTTAATCACACCTCAATTGATAAAGATTTGTAAAAATAAACATAACATCATTCAGCTCGAATACAAGCTATCCCATATCTCGTTCTCTCTGTATCATTTCTTCACTTCATGATAAATAATTTCCATTAAAAAATTCCAATAACTCAAAAACGAAGTATTGTACTCACGGACTGTAATCTATTGATCTTATTCGAACTGGATTCGCTGTCAAGGTTGGCTCGTTCGGACTTCTTGAGTGTGAAGAAGCGCACTAAAAAGTATGTAATAATTTCACAGTTGTCTAATCAACTCACGTAAACGTGTTAATGAGTACTATCTACTGTGGCCAATCTTTCCGCGTTGTGATAGGTCATTCAGAAAGCGACGATTACGTCACCTCAGTCAAAACGAAATCAGCATCTCGTGATCCTGAATTCCACTGGGATGTCGCAGATTTTGTTTTCTATGGATGCCTACGCTTATGCATAGCCAGCAGCCTATTGATGCTCTTAGAACCCATTGTAGCATCTTTCCAGTATATTTTGTTACTTGTTGAATGAAACGAATTATATTTCTCATCATTTTATCGAGATGATATTGTTTATGTCATTGGCATATTTCTAACAATATCGTATATATAAGCATTATTGATTTTTAAATACCAAATTAATAAAAAATAAATAACATCGAAAAAAGAACGCCAAGTATGGCAAACTTTATCAATGAATCGTTACTTTCAAGTGCAGTTTTAATCAATCGTTCATATACGTCTTCGTCAAAGAATCAACAGACGAGTACAACCGATACCAAAAATTGGGAAAGACGCTTTGGTCTTGAAGACTGAATGCAAGGCAATGAAGATGAAGTTGTTGCATCTTTATAAAGACCGTTTATCACTTCGTAAGATTAGAACATTTCTCAGAACCGCATTTTTATCGTATGTTCAAGACAGAATTACATCATAAATATATAAACAAGTTTTTATTATCGTACTCACGTTTGGAACAGTTCTCGATCTGCGATAAGGTGCCAGAGTAGATTTCCCGCTGGATGTTGTAGGTCCACTTGAAGATAAAATGTCTGCATTATCTGAAGGTATATCTTGGGTAGATGAAAATGGGCTATAATTTTCTTCTAGGCTGCGCATAATTGCAAACTCTAGCTGTTCCTCCTCGTCGCGTTCTGTCATTGGTATTGGAATCGGAGCTGAAACAGCCATCGTCATCATGTATTCAACAGAGTTTGTTGTTTATTTTCTATCAGCGATACTTCCGCCTGACGACCTCAATTCTTGGACGAGTGATTTAAATTTCCTGTCTGTCAGACCGACTAGTTCAGGATATGTTATTATTTAGAGTAGTAGCATATCTGTATTTGTACAAAATATTCTCTTGAACATGTCCCAAAAATGCAAAAATATTTAAACTGTTTGCAACAATACTCGTAGTTTAGATTTATGGATTTAATTCCAGGGTCTTTGCAACTACAAACGACTTGTACTTGGCACATAATTGATCTAACCATACACTGGCTTTGTATTGAATTGAAGAAGTCTTGCGAAGGAATTTAATACTGATAACATTAAAAATAACCTGTTATATCAACATCGTATGCTTAAGTGATAAAATAAGTTAACATTGACGCTCAAAACGTGAAATGGATCACAGTAGAGATAGATAAAATAAATAAATAAACTGAACTGTGACGTATCAGCCAAAGCTGTGGTTCTAAATGACTATATAATTTCCCATATTCATACATACATATTTAGAGCTTATGGCTCGTGATGAACATACAGAACTAGCTTTCTAAATTCTTTGACGGCAACATTGAAACAAAGAAAGTCGCTACGTGTACTGACATTGGCTCTTTCTTCGTATAGCTAGCATGAAATTAATAAGTTACAATCCAAAACATACAACGCTTCTTCAGTCGACTGCTGGGAATTGGGACAGAAATAGAACGTTTCTTCGTTGATGTCTGAGGTTTGACAAAAACCAGAATGGCAAACTCGGGCCTTGTATTTAACTTTCAGCATTGACCTGATTTTCATCAGAATTACATTCTACTCAAATTTTTTATCTATTTATCCAAGTCGGTCATTATTTCATGAGATTTCCGTGGATCGTGGTCAGCATCGAATACAGTTACGTCACAATCACGCAGGGCATTATAGCAAAAGTACGTTGTAAGCGTCATAAAAGAAGGCGATACATTTGTTTTCTTGGTATTTGTTATACGGTTTATACTTCATCCTGCTGTGTACGGACGTAATATTATTCTTGTTGACTTGTGGTAGTTGAATATCATAATCAAATTACGATAACTAACCAAACAAAGTTGAACGCTGCAATAAAGCAGATGCTGAGAAACTTTTGCATATCTCCGATCGATTGTTCCCGCAGGGCTCGTCTACCTTTGTTGAAGTGGTACACCCTTTCATCGTTCACACCAAATCTGGCACACTCCACTCCTACATTTTTAATCGGCCTAAAACACAATGTTTAAAAAATATACATGTTTTTTATACCGACACAATATTTCATTTGTTCGAATAATGTAAACGTTGCACCTGGATTTCATCAGCCAGTGGCCAAGGAAGCCTGAGCCGACCAGCGCTTACATTAACTACCCGACGGCGGAGAGGAATCCATCAATTTTTTTGCACGTAATTATCCCCATGGGATTCAAACTTGGAAACCCACGCAGGGTAATCAGAGGTGTGGGGCGAGCGTAATCCTAGCGTCTAGCACGTTGCGCCATACCGCCAAGCGATCGTAGCAGTTTTAAAATTTTTAAACTTTGCATTTTGTACCAAATATCAAGAGCGTAGCCAGCCCAATTTTTTTATTTTTTTTTTGGGGGGGGGGCAATTTTGGCAATTTTTGTATAATGACGTATTACGGCGCTTACTCGTGCCTTCTTCTCCGAACAATGTTAGATAAAAAGAGCCACTGATATCTAACAATATCTTCAAGGATCCCTCTACAGACATACGTTGTTGTCGAAGTTATCCAAGCCGCAGAGTTTCCCAAACTTTTTGGGCCGCGAACCCCTCTTTGAGAATCTTAGTTTTGACGGACATACATCCTATGCCGTATCAATTTCTGTGCCTAACCAATGAGAAATAACAATGTTTCATTTAGAACACAACAACTTAAACGGTGTTAATGTGATGAATGATGTTGCTTTTCACTGCACAATTCATCGACAAACAAACTCATCCGACTCTACGGAAAGTCTCAATTTGTATTTTGTCATCATATCGATAAGAGGTGAAAATGCTGCCTCGCGCATGTAGGTCGCTGCAAAAGGCAATCAAAATTTAATTGCCTTTTCTGACAGCAATAAATATTTGTCGGCAACGCTCAACGAAAAATATGCAACAATTTTTTATTATTAAAATCAAGCATTAAATATCAACCAGACTTTTTACATATCGTTGCGGATATGTTGCACCCCGGGGTCCGCGGACCCCGGTTTGGAAAACCTTGATCCAAGGTATATGAGCGCGCATTTTCATCTATCTCGGTTGGTTTATTTGCTGAAATGATTGATGATAACGAGCCGGAAAACATCCTATTTTCCGATTTTCCCAGTACCAAAAAATATAAGATTTCAAGAAAACGCATTTTTAATCAAGAACTTTTGCCTACACAGTGCTGATCACCGAGGCCATGCACCGCTTATTGCTTCACTGCTTGTTTACGGCTTTCCCTTCAAAGTATTAAAGTATAATAAGTATAAGTTTATTTCGACCTCATAATCAGCATAACAATAAAATGATTGATTATAAAATCAGGAGGGCAAACAAAACCTTAGATAAGGTTTAAAACGTACAGAATGTATATAAAATGGAAGGTTTTGCCAAGAAAAAGCGGTACGTGTTGACTCCATTGAACCTCAATGGTAGACTCATCTAAAATAATTGAAATATTCCACACACGCACCCACACGAACCATCAAGAATAAAGTAAAGTAAGAAGAACATGATCAATTGCATACAGGTAGTTAAAATAAATTACTCTCGTACCTTTCTCGGCTCAAATAAAACCTGGACTAGTAATGAGACATAAGGTTAATGTGACTAATGCATCTTTCCGATATACTGTATAATACCGTGTTTCCCCAAAAATAAGACCTACCCCGAAAATAAGACCTAGAGTCTAACTCTAGACAGAAATTTTAAATCGTTTCAATATAAGCCCCCTTAAAATAAGACCTAGTTAATAACGCAATTTTTTTTTTGACCTAGTCGATAGCAAAAAGTCTCTCCCACACACTTTAAATGATTGATAAGCTATGTTTAGCAGTTAGTTTGAATAAAAACGTGTTATAAGTAAATGGATATTGGCTTTCATATTTTGTGTACCGCTATTTGAAAATCTCGTGATTGATTACTTTGTAATTTTTTTTGATAAACGAAAATATAGGACATCCCCTAAAATAAGCCCTAGTGTTATTTGGCGGAAGAAAATTGAAATAAGACCCAGTCTTATTTTCGGGAAAACACGGGTATGATGATTGAAGCATATTTACATAACACGGTATGTTAGTCGTTGCATAACATTATGCATTGTCTCTGATCAACGACTAACATACCGCTCTGATTGAAGCAACTGTATTCCTCTATGTCACCTGCCACGTGGTGGTGTAATGGGATAATATCATTTCCATGGAAACGCAGGGTTTTCGCCGTCAGCGGTGAGAGTATTTTTGATTTCGTTTTGCGCTTGTTTTCTATATACGGCGGTTAGGATTCTGGTGATTTTTATTTTGCTTTTCTATTTTACCAATTACTTTAGATATTATAGCACTTACTCCATACAATGTGAAGTTAGCACACAAATCCTTATTAGCGATTTAAAAAATAAGTCTATTTGCTGATTTGGCAGACTTGAGAAAACAGCCAACAGCGAAATCTAAAACTACAACATGGCTGACTTTGGAGCGGATGTTATGAACAAAAGTCCGGCAATGAATGGAAGTATGGCAAATGGACATGGAACTAACAGACTCAATACCAGCAACAGTATGAGACCACCAACAGGCAAGTTAGAGTCGATCAGGCATTCGGAAGCAGGAATGTCTCTGCTGTCAGAAAAATATATATTTTTTAGGTCATAGATTTATCAAATTATTTCCGAAGTATTTTTTTTATCATAACTCAATCCTGTAATCAGCATAGCAGGTGATAAAATATTTGATAAAAACCAAGTGAAGATTTAGAAATCCAAAAATCACACTTACTCATCGCACTTACAGATCACAAATAAATATAACCATTGTTTGAGATAAAACTATTTTACACAGTAAAAGTACTCAATATCAGAAATATTCTTGTGGATGAACTCGAGATATTTTGAGAAAATTCCATAAATACTTGAAATATATTCTTTGCTGGTCTTTGTTCTGTTTTAGCTAAAACATCAATATTGTTTGAGTGAGTTTTTGAGATCACCTCATTTTTTGTGCATTATATTTGATAAATACAATGCTGTGTCAGATAGGGTATGCAATCTGACTTTATGATTTGATTATTACAATTGTATATTTGTTTGAAATCATAAAAATTACTTGAAATGTGCAGAAGTCGTTATATTTTTTTGCTGCGATTAAAATGAATTACTTCTTTCAGTGAGCTCGAGCATTGTTATTCCAAAGAATGTAATTGATGCAGAAACATTGAGGGCTCGATTGATTTCAAGAGCTCCACTTCAGGTTAGTTTTCCAGCAAATGTAATCTATATATTTGTATTAATTCTAATTTACAATATACTTTTATTTTATTAATAATTAATGTAAATTAATGGTAACATGTAACCCATTAAGGTATATTCATTTCTATTAAAATTATTGCTCATGTTCATAATTAAATATGACTGCTGACTGTTTTGACTAAAATACTTCTTTGCAATGAAAAAATATATTGATATCTGCTTTTTCAGAATCCAAATAAGCCATCTATAACTATGGGATTTCGTCGGGTAACAAGAGCTCAGATGGCAACAAGAGACCGACAAAAAGGAATTTACTTAGAACCACTGGTATGCTTATTTTTATATATAATCATAGTTAAATTATTCTTTCTTCGTTTTCCATCACAAGTATTTTCCATTATTTTTGCATTGAAAAATTATTACTAAAATCAAAAATGACATTCAAATTTTTATTAATGAGTTGATACATAATCTTGCTTTCAGATATTGACTAGACACAAACAATCCAAGTGTACAATTATTTTAGCCAGAAATCTTACAATTAATTTCAGGTGCTCCCGAAGTATGCGCACCAAGATGTCGCATAACCTGAACCCTTACCTGGTACACATACTATGTTCAGGTTGTGCAGACAGAAATTTTATTAATGATGTAGTCAAGGTGTTTTATGCCACGGTTACGAAACTCAAATATGAGATATGAAATTAGGACCTCCTGGAGTATGCGCACCAAGATGTCGCATAACCTGAACCCTTACCTGGTACACATACTATGTTCAGGTTGTGCGCCATCTTGGTGCGCATACTCCAGGAGGTCCTAATTTCATATCTCATATTTGAGTTTCGTAACCGTGGCATAAAACACCTTGACTACATCATTAATAAAATTTCTGTCGAGTAAAAAGATTATAGATTTTATATATAATGTTGACGGAAGTTTTCCACTGGGTAAATGTATTTAAATTACTGAATTGCAGTATATTAATTTTATTCTCTTTAATTCAGCCCACTCTGGCAACTTTCCAAGCTCATAATCAGCCTTCCTACATTCAAGAACAGAATAGATTAGCCTTGCTCAGACAAGGATGGAAGCCACCCACACCCCAAACTACAAGTAGTTTAGGTGCCTTACAACGTGGCAGTTCTCCATCAAGAAAACGATCAGCTGCAGGAAGTGCAATGGTCATCGAATCAACACCGAGTGATATTCCTGGGCCTTCTTTTTCTGACAAACCTGTAAGTTTAGGTTAGGGAGTTCGATCAAGTTTATTCCTAGTAATGGATACACTTTTGGTAAGAAGTAAATGATATACCTCTTCCAATATTTTAAATATCCATGCAGCCATTTTCTACAGGGCAATGAATAAAAGGTCATCATACATATATATATATACCATTACAACTGGATAGGACCTATTCTTATCTACCGCATCTGTGTATAATTTTATACTGTTTTGAGGAGCTGTGTCTAAAGTATTTACTTATCGTTATAGTTGTCATTCTGCTGTAAACATTTTTGGGCTTGGTATTATTTTTCTAGTCTTCTAAACATATATTTTGTTCATTAATGGACATGAATTAGATGGATATATGGATAGGGTTGCTAAATCAATGTTCATTTTCATGGGCTGATTGCTGTTGTTGTAATTTTTGTATTCATCCACAACTCATGGGCCAATCAATTTCGATATTTCAGCACTTAAACGGGACTCTCGTAGTATGTGAACCAAGATGGCGGACCAGGTTAGGGTTAGACCATAATTCCAAGTTCAAATACTACGGGAGCCACTTGGCTAGTTCCCGAACTCGTAATAGATCTAAAATAAGGAAAATTGGAATAAAATTATGGCCTAACCCTAACCTGGTACACATACTATGTCTATTGCTTTTATATTTTTAAAATTCTATTGCATTTGTTTTTTCAAAATTCTTTTGAGTTGTGTGGCCCGGGTATGGGACTCAATATTTCACTTAAAAATGTTCTGTTTCATATCACCTCATTGCTTCATTCTTGATTTTCTTTTTCATGCCTACTCTCTGACTTTTTCAGAAACTCGGGTGCTTAGTTAAGTAAGGTCTTACAACACCAATACTGTTGCGTGACCTTTGTGTCTATATATTTGATCATTGCTCTCTTGTTTTATTAGGTGTTAGCACCTATTCCACCTAAACAACCCAAAAGCAGACCAGTGTCAAGAACTTATCCATCAAGACAGATATCAACTGACGGAAGAAGAAGATTTAGATCATTAGAAGATGTTGTTGCAGCAAATATCACTGATACACTTGAGATTATTGAAATTGTCAGAGAAAAGTATGTTCAATGATTTTTAATTAATTAAGAAGTAGATTTGCAGAAAATTGGGTACTCCGGTAGTATGTGTACCAGATTAGAGTTAGGCCATAATTTTATTCAGATTTTCCTTATTTAGTTCTATTACGACTTGGGGACTGTCTGTGTTAACCAAGTAAATATACCCCTGTCCATGGGCTTCAGTCCCTTTACACAACTTGATGTAAAGTAGGCAAACAAAATTAGTAACCTCCATATTGGTACACATATTTCTGGAACACCAAAAATTGTCATGCGCTAGGAAAGAGTTATGGGAGTTGAATAATTCATAAAATATGAAAATATTCATCCCAGTATTATTCAAGTAGCAAAACTAGAAGAAGAAATATAAGCAAATAGGAATTCAATTCGGGAGAAAATAAAATTTTTTTTCTTTAGAAACACACTCGTTTTAATATAGTTATACAGAGTATTACCGGTAGTTATTTTTTCGATTGTGATATAATTCATAAATTATATATGAATATAAATTTGATATCTAATGAGTTGTCTCCCTTCTACTTTTCAGTAAAAATCTAGGATTTCTATATATGACTCCTCGTGCCGACCGCTCTTCTAATGAATATTCACCGTACAATCTACAAATCGTAACTCATGATAATATCAAACCTGATGACTACATGACAATCAGTGCCAAGGGGGTCACAAGAGTTCACGATGGAGATAGTGAATTCACTGAACTAGACAGATGGGAACAAGAATACAGGTGAGTGCCGATATGGCAAACTGATTCTTATGAACACCGATTTATATTGTTCTCGATTTATGTCTAATACAGTTTTTTGTCGGTCAGTTTAACTACACTGCAAAGGCAAATTGGTTGGTGGTTAGCAGGGGCGAAGCCAGGTTTTTTAACAGGGGGTTACGATAAAATTAGAACAGTGCACCAAAAATTTAATTCACGAAGATCAATTCGCAACGTAAGACGTTTAAAGAACCAAAAATTGTGTGGGGTTAATAGCAAAAGTCTGTTAGAATAGGAAAGGATAGGATTTACATATTTATCCCGGGAGAGGAAAGTGATAAGACGGCTTATCCATATGGCGAACCACGGCCTCTCGTCCGGTTACCATTCCAAGTCGGGTATGGGATTAGTTATATTGTTTGTTTTCGGAGGCATGGACTTGGTGGTGGAGGAAGCCGTAACCGACCAGCGGTTACGTGAACCACCCAATGACGACCAACTGTTAAATAAGTTCCCCGTTTTGTGTAGCGAGAATGATTCTGTTTGAGAAATTTTGATTCTCCTCTTTGTGATAAGATTGCTCAAATGCTGGTCAGTTATGATTTATTCTACAAATCTTGTTCATACTTTGTAAGAACTTGAGTTTGCTAGCCAATTTCACACCTACTTTGATTAAGTCCTGTTTGTGTTCTTGTCCTCAACTCCTGAATTTCTTGTAGCTTTCTTTCTAATGTTTTTCTGTATTTTCTTAGATTTTACTGCAAATTAGTCAAAATACCAGCATTTAAATTATTTCGAAAATGGAGATCTTTCACTGTGTGGAGAAATAATGTTAACCATCATAAAACAGAAATAAGAAGAAAAGCTCTGCAGGAAAATCTGTTTTTCTTGAACAGTGTATGTATCTCATTATACATCAATATATCAGACACAGAACATAATTATATTAGATCAATGCGGTTTAGTTTTAAAGGCCTTAGAAAACAATACTTATGCACATATTAAGTGATTCAAATGTCTTACATCATTTGAAATAGTAGTTACCGTAGTTACTTATTTATAGCACAGTTTGGTTACTATATATTTCAATTCCTATTACAGATACACTTTTCCAGCTACGCATTTTTTGCATAAGTTGTACATTGGTAATGATAATGTCTACAACCAATCAGTCAGATTTCATTTTTTAGATTCATATGCAGAATTTGGTAAAGAATTCTGTCACCATTATTTTCTAGTAGAAGTATGGACCTCATCCATATCACATTTATTATTGTTTCAAATGTATTAGTATTTGTATATGTCAATTATGGTAACATCAAGTAGATGGCAGTCAATTCTGAGAAATCTCATTATGCTTGCTTATATTTTTCTTTTATACAGTCTCTTCGCCCAGCTTTACTCAACGTTCGAGAAATGTGTTACAGAATTGGTGACATGGGACTCTGTCGTATTGAAAAGGGATACACTTATAAGTATGTTGAAGTATCTTTATAATGTTGTGCTCATTCTCATTAACATATAGCTTGGGAACCATAAACAAAAAAAATAAAACTTATTTATACTCCCTTGGGTCTGTTTGAAACGTGTTATATGAGGTTAATAGTTCAACTTTGAACAATTGGGCCAAGATGAGTTTTCTAGTATGAGTATTTTAGGATGATGATCAAGTATAAAAAAAAAACATACTATTATACTGATATATATATAAAAATTTAGCATTAAATTTATTGAAGGTATGATTCAATCCAAATTCAGAAGTCAAATGAGTTCAACTTTCATTTGTCTGTTTTTCAGACTACATCAATTTCGTGAAGCTCAATTCACTCAGTTGGCTGAAGTACAAGGCAGACTTGCTGAATTTCGTGATCTCGTCAAGGAAGTTGTCAGGAGTGCTTGCAGGTAATAATCATATTTTTGTGAATGATTTGTAATCGTCTTCACAGAGATATATTATAAACCAAGAGATTTAATCACAAGTCAGGGATAATTGACATTGGACCCATGGCCGATGTGCTATAAATGGTGACTCTTGGACTCACAAATTCCGTCCCCTAGCTATCAAATACAAAAGATTCAAATTTTGACTACAAAAACCCTGGTGTATGCAAGCCCTCTTCAATTGTCTGCTGAGAATGCTTAGTCAACTTTATGTTTTTTGAGGGAAACTCTGACCACCATTAGAAGACTGAAATTGTGACTTAGACTCCAAAGAATTTGAAATTTCTATACTATAAGAAGTTAGAAATATAGTTCTAACTCTAGCACCAATAAAAACAATCCAAACTTCGACTCAACGGCTATTTTCAATCCTTCAATGCTTCATCCTATTATTCATCGAATCTCTATTTCAGAACTGCTCTTCTTGAAGCTGGATTCACTCCTGATGATTATTTTTATGATTTTGATACACCTGGACAGATGCAGTATGGTGAAGATGGGCAACCTATACCTGGTACTGCAGGATCATCGATGTTGATGCAGGTAATAATGAACAGTCAATATATTGTTTTCTTGATGTAGAAATTTATTTTTAGGTTCTGGAATGTTTGCATGTTTACATGAGTTTATTTGCCGTAACCATAAAACATGACGGAATATCATTACAAAATAATAATACTATAATGTTAATCAAGTTGCTTAACAAGATTCAGGAAATTTGGACTGAGGGTTGGGGCTGGTGTGTATGTACTCAGTGAGGATTGTGATGTAATCTCATCTCATTGTATTGTAATCTCATTGGATTTCATAAATTATTTAATATTTTTTGTCCTCTTATCTGTATTACACATAATATTTATAGTTTCGATTATTTGTTTTATTGTTAACAACAGACTCAAATGGAAGATATATATGGTGATGCTCCAGACAAAATGACTTACACAGAACAAGCAAATAAAAGATCACATTGTCGACGTTTGACAAGCTTTATCAGGTTAGATTAATATTCATTTATATTAACAAGTTGTCTTTTGAAAATTTATTCTATTTTACATGTAAGAACAAATCGCTAAAAATTTAATTTGTTATGGAAATGTGCAATAGATTATATCTTTATGTTTTTCTTGTCATTCCTGAACATTTTTTTCAATTTATGTTCTCTTTAAAACATTGTTTACATTGATTTTAGACTTGCTGATTATTTGATTGTCAACACAATGCATGTGCTTGCAGTCAACAGTGTATCAACATTGCTTAACTACCTGACTGAACAATTGAAACAAACACCAACTAACGATACAATATTGAATTGGGATAAGGCTGTAAGTGAAGTATTACAATATCATCTGCCTTGAATAATTTAAAATGAAGGATAGTGACATGAAGAGTTGATAAAAAAATCTTTTAGGGTTTTTTACTCGAAAGAAATTTATCATTTATTACTTTTTTTCTTTTGATTTTCGCCTCTTCTGTGTGTATATATCTTGGCGCTCCAGAAGTATGTGCACCAATTTGGAGGTAACCAATTTTGTTCGCCTATTTTACAAGTTGTGTAAATGGACTAAAACCCATGGGCAGAGGGTATATTCACTTGGCTAACACAGACAGTCCCCGAACTCGTAATAAAACTAAAATATTGAAAAAAAAATAAATAAAAATAATGCCCTAAGCTGGTACACATACTATGGGAGTACCTATAGCTCATATATATTATAGGAATAGCCGAAAGCTTGAAGGCAGATTAATGAGGATCTCATCACGTTTGTTCATTTATTATCATGATACTTCCAAACTCAAAGCTCAATTAGATAATATCATGTGTTTCACCTGTGTTAATGTATTACCACTGTGCTCCCAAGCTTAAACCTTGATTTGAGAGTATCTTATCAAATTTTTCCACTTATACTCTATTTTGCAAGTTGGGATTCTTCACGTAGTACTTTTATGTCTGATATTTTAAACCTCATTTGAAGTTTGACAACATTCCTGAATTTCTACATTATGTATTTCCTGTATATTGCAATTTTTTCTACCATAGCAAAGTTCAGAGTAACTTATCTATAATATCTAATCAGAAACCAGAGCAAATAATTTATGCTTATTCCTGGGTTTAAGATATTGGACCATTACCATGGGTGTGTGAATTGAGTAGGCCATGCAAAATCATAGAAGACCACTCTTAGTATTTCTACAATTTTATAGTTTTTAATGACTGTTTGTAGAGAACATATTTGGAGATTAAAATATGAGAAAATAAAGTTAATAATTAAGAATTGCAACGGTAATAGTCATTATGAAATGGTCAAATGTAATTAGTATTTCAATTAATCAAATGTAATGAGTATTTTAAAATGTGAGGCTTGAAAGAACAAGATATTTACTTGCCCAGATTCTCATTTTCCCAATAAAATTCAAGACGTAATTTCATATCTTGTTACTCAAAACGGACCTCGCTAAACTATTGCGATTTTCTGAACAATGATATTACAATGCCTTACATATCGCTTTGTATTGTGTGCTTTCATACAATAAAATATGTGAACGAGCAGAAGTATTTTAAGCCGAAGAAACAAAAGGAAAGAGATTGAATGTTGCAGATTTTTGCAACCTGATACAGATATTTACTTTTCAATTATCGGAAAATCATGATACACATTTGTTTCCTACAATTATGCTATAATATTGGAAGTCTAGTTGTCTGCCTGAACAATATACTGTTTCTAAAATACTTAAAATTTTAAGAATTGCAATAATTTTGCATAAAAGTTCTCTATAAATGCATGCGAAAATCATGTTTTTTCTTCAACATTTACTCCAATATTTTAGGATGCAACAGATGAGCAGCCAACAAAAGAAGACGATACAAAAACAACAACTGCAATCAGCACTGCTACAGGTAATATTATAACTAAAATAAAAAGTTGTGACCACATTATTTCTCGTAAAAACACTGGCTCCAAATATAAATTGTTGTCGAAGCTGTTTACTTTCTTATTTATATAATAATAATAACAGATTTTCATTGATCATTGACTCAAGGGTGATAATGAAAACGTATCGAACTTCCGTGTTTCACCGAAAATAAGACCTAGCCTGAATTATAGAAAATGGTTTTAATATAAACCCTTCTTTAAAAATAAGACCTAGTCGATAGCGCCAAATTTTTTTGACCTAGTCGATAGCAAGAAATCTCTCCTACACTTTTTAAATGATTAATATTCTATGTTTAGCAGTTATTTTGAATTGAAACATGTTATTTATAAGTAAATAGATATCTGTTTTCATATTGTATATTTGAAAATCTCGTAATTCTCTACTTTGTAATTTTGTTTTTGATAAATGAAATTAAAAGACATCCGCTCAAAATAAGCCCTAGTGTTCTTTTTCGAAAAAAAATTGAAATAAGACCCAGTCTTAGTCTCGGGGTAACATGGTAATATAACACATTATTTCTCATTTTAGAACCCAAATGTATTATTTTTTTCTTACTCATATGTGTATGTGATTGCTAGTCCAATACTTTGTTAAAAACAAATTATGAATTACTTCATTTATAATTCATATGCTACTAAACCCTGAGTCAAATTGAGTCACGGTTCATCCGAGTTTTTTAAGTGTTCGAAGTCAATTCAATTATTGAGTTAAGTCTCACTGGTGGTTAGTTGAGTATGAGTCCGAGTCATTTCATTTAGATGACTCGAGTCACTTTGAGTTTTTGATAAAAAATCACTTGAGTCCATCTCAAGCTTTCCCAACCTGGCAATCTAGAATACAATCATTTAATATATAATTTATAAATTATGTCTACTTAAACTTTTGTATTGTTTCTTAAATATTACAGGAATTGATGAAGATGCACCAACAATACTTCCACCCTTGTTTGTTACTGAATTTAATCTTGATATAACAAGTTTGTCATTTACTCCCAATATGGAAGACTTCCATGATGGACTTGGAAAAGTTATCGACAAGTGAGTGGGTCGTCTGAATACCAAAGTATCTGAATAATATTGTCTTTTTCATTGATCATTTCGTTTTGTGGGATTGATAAAGAGGCCAAATGTTTAATTTCAGTTGAAAACTGTTTTAGATCATTTTACAAGAAAAGTTTAGAAAGACTGACATTACTTTTCACGTTCCTAATCTTATTAGTGCATTGTAGGAAGGTGATAGACATTTTAAAAATGTAATTTTCATAGGATATCATAAAATTCAGTGATTTTTTGCAATTAAAGTGCAGCTGTTTCAAGAATTATGCTGAGCATATATATTGAAATGCACTGAAATTTTTCTACTATATTTTTTGTTAAAGATTTAGTTTCCAGTTAAATTGAATATATCTTATTTTGGACCGGTACATGCTCCATGTATAAAATATCATATAACATATCCTGACTAATAATATTTTCATTTCCTGCTATTTGGTTTATGATACAATCTTTGTTTGTTTATTTTAAATAGATTTCAGGATACAGTGTTATCTGTGTCCAACCTTGTTGTCGACATCTATTTTGATGCATTCACTCGTCCTATGATCAACAATAAATTTGAAGAAAAAGCTTGTGGTGAGGGACCATCTCTCGGTGCAATGTTTGAAGATGACAGACACTTGCAGGGACTTATATCTCAGATTAAGGTAGTTTGAAAAACAATTATTTTGATTTTTTTTCCACTACTATACAGATAGTAATCTCAGCTCCCATCCTATGCTCGGCCACAACCTTCACCCAGAGTGTAATGAATTGAACAATCAAGGCCAAACCAGAAATTCCTCCCAAATTAGTAGCTTACTATATGTAAGTCTGGATGCTTGTACAGAGCCCTATTCAGAGTGTATATGTGAAAACACCTTATGATGAAGTTTTATTGATTTTTAACATATTTTAGATTGTTCAGCACTAGTGAAAAACTTACTGTATATCCTCGCATATAAGCCAGGTTCAGAATTCAAAAAAAAAAAAAAATTGCCAAACTAAGGGGGCAGCTAATATGCCCATAACTCAGATCGCACGAAGAATTTGGCTTATTTGTGCATAACTCTGTTCGCACTCAATTGAAATTCGAAATGACATTATGCTAACTTAATTCCAACACCTTCTCACAATAAGATTGTACGATTTATAGAGTCTGCTTATATGCAAGATCAGCTTATGTGTAAGGATATACACTTCTGAAGTATAAGGAATGTGGTTTGTGATGTAGATGAATAAGCTATAACTAAGCATAGGGTATTATACTATGATTACCTCTTGTTTTCTACATTGTTCAGGATGCAGTGAACCAGGCATTTAGATCATCCAAACTGTATGCAGACACACTGTCTCATATTCAAGCATTCTTCAAAGAAAACGAAAGTCTCGATCTTACAGAATTACAAGAAAGTGAACACGATGTTACGTAAGTATTCAACAAACATAGATATTTCTTTCCTACATTGAATATGAACAATCATTATGACAATGAGCCGTCTATTTAAAATTTATCTTCTTTCGTGGCCAAGCAGTATTGGGAGGTCATTGACTCGACTAACCATTTGTCAAAGACTAGACTTGAGTCATATTAATCATGGTTTCCCAAACTGGGGCCCGCCGACCCCGGGGGACCTTGATGACTGCACAGGGGGTCTGCAACAATATGAAAAGAGTCTGATCGATCTTTAATCATTCATTTTAAATAAAAAGCCACTGCATCTCTTTGGTTGAGCGTTTCAGACAAATATCCATTGCTGTCAGAAAAGGCAATTGAAGAAATGTTAATGCCGTTTGCAACGACTTAGATTTGTGAGGCTTCATTTTCAGCTCTTACCAATTTAATGCCAAAAAATACGGATCGAGACTTACCGTAAAGTCAGATCTACGAGTTTGCTTGTCACGAATTGCTCCAAGAATCGATAAATTGTGCAGTGAAAAGCAACCTCATCCATCACATCAATGTCTTCTGTGTTGTTGCTTTGTAAATGAAACACCCTTCATTGTTGGTTTGGCACAGAAATTGATACGATATAGGATGGGGCTCTGTCTTGGTCCGTGGCCCAAGACCCTGATCTAAATGGAATGACTCAGACTCATGCTCAACTAACCACCAGTGAGGCTCAACTCTGTGATTGACTGATTTGGACTCTACTTGAGACTCCTGTGAATTGGGTTTAGAGACTTGAATAATATTTTTTTTAAATTTGTTATTTTATTTGTGAAATTTTTACATACGGTAGTTTATGAACAATGATCTATTTTGTATTTGATTATTATCTGGGTTTAATGAAACCTTTTATACCAAATTGATTGCAAATTAATCAAATATATTCCTATGAAACTGATGAGAAGTTCAATAACAATTTTAATTCATGCTATTACACCTTTTTGTAGGTTCTTTGCTGATTCTCTGGATAAATATCACAGTCAACATAAACAAGCTCTATTAATTAAAACAAAGAGAGAACTAGGAATGCTTCTTGTTGATGCCACTAAATTGAAAGAACGCTTGATTCCGAATCCTTTGCGATGTTTGGAGGTAAGTTTTTACTTCTCATATTATGTCTTTTTTTTTTTCTTACTTGCTGCTTTTTCGAGTATCAAACATAGGATTTCTATTTTAATCAGAATTATGACCAAATTATTATGATATAGAATAGGATTTACATATTTATCTTAAGGGAGAGGAAAACCCATAATACGGTTTAATCAAATGGCAAACCATGGCGTCTGGTCAGGTTACCAGTCTATGTCGGGGATGGGATTAGCTTGCCAGTCATTTGTTTCAGATGCATGGACTTGTTATTGTGACTATATCTGAAGTCAGATTCTCCTTCAGCATATGAGGAAAATTTATAATGTTTTGGAAGGAATTTTACTCTAACTTTAACAGGGACCTCAGTGTCTCAGTTTAGTTCATTCTTAAATCATAATTACCATATCGTAATTGTGATAAAGATTCTGACACATAAAACTTGTGTAGTTTTCAAACATCCTTACATATCATTTTGTATGGTGTGTTTCATGCAGTAAGATATCTGAAAGAGCAAAGTATTTCCATTCAAACAAATATGATATAGGCAACAGCCATGTAATTTATCGCCATTTTTCAAACTATTAAACATTACTGTTGTTGTCTTATTTTATTTTTATTTTTTCAGGCTATCAATGACCTGCTACCCAAACTTGCTAAACAAAATATGGACAAGATTATATCGGAAGCACAAGATGCTCAATTTAAACTTGAACTAGCTCCATCCACGACTTATGAATTTGTTGAAAGTCTCACGTTTCTTGATGAGATTCAGGATCGTATCGAACCACTCGATCTCGAGTCGAGTGTCGTTGTTATGATGTATGATCTCATTGATAAATACAATGTACCTACTCCACCTGAGGACTTTGCTGTTTACAAGGTATTTTGTTTGAAGTTACTTAAGTATTGCTCAATGTGCTTTGTGAAATGGGACCCTAATTCTTTTTCAAAAATATGGATTCCAGTGATTTTGAATAATGAAGTGCTTGATTGACTCCTATGTTTACTTATATCTCTAATTAAATATGTAGTTATGTAAGGAGTCTATTTGGCTTGAAGAAGTAATATAGAATCGATGATAAAATAAATAAATAGAATCCTCTAAAAATTTATGTACTGAATTGTTAACATTTTATTATGTTTTAAACTAAGATTTTGTTTCATTTAGACTTTGCGACCCACAATCCATAATGTCCGAAATGTGATTGATAAAGCTGTATCAGAGAGAGATGCCAATATTGATAAATTCTGTAACCATATGGATAAAGACATTGCAGAACTTGCAAAAGAAGTCAAGGCTGTGAAACAAGACAGTCAGGTAAAGTTTGTAGACGACTTTCGATGCTTTCTTTTTCATTTTAAAATTTCTATGAGCTTATCTATGAGAGCCTTCTTGTCTCATTCAATTTCTATGACAAATTCAGGATCCAAAAATTCTGGACAAGAACACAAGTAAAGATGAAGTGAAAGGAATGATACTTAAAATGATGACAACAATGGATGACTTGCAAAAGAGGGCGTTTCAATGCAAAACTTACCAGAAGAAATTCAAGGTAAATCTTTGATGCTATCATCAGAAAATAGTTTTGCTTGTGATGCTTTCTAATTGTTTTTAGACGAAATATTTTGCAATATTTGCTAAACAAATAAGTAAATATATCAATATGTATGTGAACTATAGATGTATAGATATCACTTTTGTCGCCGATACCGATGAGACACCAACCTAAAACGCTGATATTTCAAAAAGCCGATATTACAGCAGGGCTGACGGGTTAAAAAACATTTTAGAATACATTCAATATTTCATATTTGAAAATCTTATTTCCTTATGTTCTGGGAATAGAGAATTATTTGATTTTGGTTCTCTGGTGTGAATGAATCATATAATGAGTCAAAGAAAAAAAATTTGATCTGATTATTATAGTCAAGTAGATAGTGATTGACTGACTGATAGGTTGATTTATATCTTTGATAGGTTGAAGTTGCCAAATTCGATGAACTGGAAGAAGTTCACGCAGAGCTCAAATTGAAAGAACTTTTATGGAAATCTCTTGATGAATGGGATGATTTATATGAAAAGTGGTTGGATGAAGATTTTGATCAAATAGATCCAGAAGATCTCAATCAATATGTAAGAATAGGGTGATGACCTATTGCTCATTAGGATTGTGATCTAGTGACCTGGGTTCAAATTCCACACACACTTCCTACTTATTTTGTAGTAATTGGATAGAATATTCTCAAGTAGAATGCTTCAAAGGGTACTCCTGTAGCGTGTGTACCAGGTTAGGGTTAGGCCATAATTTCATTCTGATTATCCTTATTTTAGTTCTATTACGAGTTCGAGGACTGTCAAGTAAATATATCCCCTGCCCATATGCTTTCGTCCCTTCACACAACCTGATGTAAAGTAGACGAACAAAATTAGTTACCTCAGTATTGGTACACATACTTCTGGAGCGCCGCTTCTAAGCTTTCTAAAAACATAGCTATTCATGCTATAGTGAAGGCTGTTCAGGATAGTAGAAGCAGTAGCAGTGAATACTTAAAGTTTATTACAATTGAAAATTTCAAGGGGAACCGAATTTTTTACTCTCACAACAGTTCTTCTTCCCATCCATGGGCTTCAGATGCACCACACAATAAACTTATAGTTCATTAGGTTCGTATTTAGCATAGACATTTCAAAAGCTTCATTCATGTTCCAGGTTGCAAAATATGGAAAATATTCTCATCAATTGGAGAAAGGACTTCCACCTAACAGTGTTGTTCCTATCTTGAAAGAAAAAGTCGATGGCATGAGAGATAAGGTATATCAAGTTATACGAAAAAAATAATATTCATCACTAATATTTTCAATATGTTAGTTGAATCTTCAATATGTCTGTCTGCTTTGTCACATACAGTAACTTCTTGTTACTTATCGATTTTAATCGGTAAGTATGTTGATAGGTATTTGTCTGTCTGTCTGTCTGTTAGATGCACGCCATATCTGACGAAAGCGAAATTGAATCTGCTCCAGATTCCAGATGCATGTGCATTCATCATATCTCGGACCAGAAGGCTATTGATTATTGGCGGATTATGTCGAATATTTAGCGAGTTGTTAATTAATTAGTGATGAGACACAATGTGTCACTATGGAGTGAGAGTGCTGTTTTGGGGGATCCCCTAACTTTTGATCGATAAGTCTTCGGTCTCTGACTGATATTCTCGTCTATTACGTTATTGAGAACCAAAATGTGTGTTCTGCTTACCAACATTGATATTTAGAAGACTGATGGAACAGATGGAAAAGCAACATATGGAATATAATATAACATGAATCCTATATGGAACAATGATGGATTTTTGATAAATTAATAATTCAATTTGCCTTGGGAAGTCATTAACTGTATTTTAATCGATTTTCAGATGCCTGTGATTACCAATCTTCGTAATCCATTTCTCAAACAAAGGCATTATGAGAAGATTGAAAGTGTAGTTCAACACAAGTTCCCCACAGGTTTATTCATTTTTTATTCATATTTTGATTTATTTTTCATGTAATAAGATTTAGATGTTCCAAAATGGCTTTTTTTAAAATATCGAATACTTTATTTTTTAATTTCGAGCTAGTATTTGTTATATAGCATTACATGTTGAAGTGTTTGAATCCGGTGTGACGGGTCGCTCCTGTAAAAAATTTTTTTTATTTAATTTCTTCACTAACCAAATCATACCCTGAATTGTAGAACATTCTAGCCATTGTCACAATCGCTCTACTGTTCACCAGCTCACAGTATAGAGCAGGGGTGGGCAAGGTGTTTGCATCGCGGGCCAAAAATTTTGCCCACTCAGACTGGCGGGCCATGTAAGTTATATTTTATGAACAATGTTTACAATGTTACAAAAGCAAAAGTGGAAACGATAAGCCTCGTGCTAAAACTAGGTTTAATTGCAATCTCAACAAATTCCTTGAGCTAATTTCTTTAGCTGAAACATCAAAATTTAGTTTTACTTTGGTTGTGGCAGCAGTGGGCGGGCCAACGTGAAGTGCCCAATGGGCTAGATTTAGCCCACGGGCCGTAGTTTGCCCACCCTTGGTATAGAGGCAATTTCAACATTTATGTTTCATAGAATGAATTCAAAATTGATATTGATATACTCGTACTATTATGGTACTTTAGACTGTACTATTTGATTTTTGGTTGATATTGACGTGTCAAAAGAAATTCATATCTATAAATATTGTGCACCACCAGTAATAATAACGTTTTTAAAACTGGTGGCATCCCTATCTGCACTTGGGTAAATTGACAATTTTTGTTCAACAGTTAGTATTTAAATTCAAAGTACATATCTATATTTTGTGAATTTATTAAAACAAAATCCGTTCAATGTATCTAACTCAGGTCAAAGTGAAGAAGAAGAAAAACTTTGTCTTCGTTTACTTAATGAATGGGAAGTTTTTGAATACTCTGATCAAATTGAAGAAGTTTCTGGCCAGGCTTCTGGTGAAGCTTCATTGGAAACAATGTTGAAAAAGGTAGGAGTTATGTTAGTTTGAAGAATATAATATACTCTACTGCAGGCCACCGAGGTTTGGTAACTGAGATTAATTGAACGAAAGCTAGGTAATTTTAAACTTAAAATATATACCGTAAACATTTGAAAATGTACAATGTATTTCATAGTTGCAAAAAAAGTAAGGGGAAAGTGGGAGATTTTCTTGTATGATCAGACCACCGCAGTATGACAGTGTGTAGCTTGCCATTGTTCTCCCAAATTTTCTGTTTACATTTGTGTGCAGATTAAAAATGAACAAATTAATTTGTTTTATGTATGATATCAATGAATTCAACTTATTATGCTTTTTGAAATCATATCAACAGGAAACAATTTTAATACATGAAAGAATGGTTACCCATGCATGTGCAAAGTACATATACTTTTTTAATGCTAAACGCTATGTATATGTCTATATCTAGATATTATATGATAGTATTAGAATAGCAAACTCCTTGTGATATGAATATATTATTTTGTATTCTAGGTTGAAGACTCCTGGAAAGCAACAGAATTTGTTGTTCTACCTCACAGAGATTCAAAAGATGTTTTTATTCTTGGTGGGACAGATGATGTACAGGTAGGTGTATGTATACAGGTGTCTGTAATGTATGCTTTCAGACCAGGGCTGTGAGATGGAGAAAATTTACAATCGAGTCAGACTACGACTCCATGTTGAAAAATATTTGGTCTCTAAAAATGAAAATGAAACTTTGGCACAGACTGCTGAAAATGCTTACCAAACTTGATACTTTTTAGGTTTCTGTAAGAAGTTTCGATTTCGTTATCACCATTGAAAATCTTTAATTTCAACCGACTCCTGATTTTGTAGAATTCAGAATTTCGACTCCAGGAAGTTTAAAAATAGCACTCTGACCCCTACACCAGGGAAAGCATGTACGACTCCGACCCCACAGTCCTTTTTCAAATATAATTACATATTCAACAGTCATCCCTAATTCTTTAGTATATTATGCAACAAAATCAAAATTCACCTCTGATGATTCATTACTTAGGTTCAACTTGATGACAGTAGAGTATCAATATCAACAATATCAACATCAAGATATGTTGGTCCTATACAAGGTAGAGTTGAAGATTGGCAAAAACAATTGAACCTGATGAACGATACTTTGGTAAGTATGATTTGTTTATTGTAAATATATGCACTCTGCGAGCACTTTTTATCAGTATATAGATATATTATATACCTCAGGTCCTAAGGATTTGTGATTTGATGAATGTTTTGAACATATTGTCATTCACTGCTGGATACATGACTTTAATTTTGTGTAGACGAATATGCGCAAAAGACTCACTTGACTATTAACCAACCATATAAGGGGACTCATTACTGGCTTATTGACTGAAACGCTCCACTCTGCATATTCTCATACAAATCTGAAGTGGTTGATGTTTGCTATATGCTTAAGTAGTATATCAAATTACTTTTCTCTCAAATGGATGTCATATTTTTGAAATATCAAACTTGAAGATTCCAAACAAAAGGAAAAACAAAAACTAAATTAGCAAATCAAGTAGCTGTAATGATTTTTTATTGTATTTAAACATTAGGATGAATGGCTGAATTGTCAACGAAACTGGCTCTACTTGGAATCCATCTTCAGTGCTCCTGATATTCAGAGACAACTTCCTGCTGAAGCAAAGATGTTCATGACAGTGGATAAATCATGGAAAGAAATAATGAGAAAAGTTAACAGATTACCAAATGCTTTGAGGTCGGTAATTTATGCTAATCCGAACGTACTTTTGGAAATAATAAAACCAAGAAAAAGGTTTACATTCTGAGATGTGATAGTCTCATATCATTAAAATGTTTTCATATTTCTGTTATAACCCAGTTTCACAACTATGGTAACAAATTTTATAACATATTTGAAATATTCAACCATATGTCCAAGACAAGACAAGATTTGGATATAGTCAAATTTTAATGAATTATGATATTTTATCAACCTTAGAATACTTCAGAGCAGTGGTTCCCAAACTTTTTAGAGTTGGGACCCACTATTTATTACCACAGCTTATGGCGACCCATTTAACTTTAATAAATTAATAAAACATTGATGGGGGAAACAAATTTATTTTCTTAAATTAAATTTTCAGTGAAGCTAGTGAGAAGGATGAGCTTGTTCCTTGCTACTTTCCATAATAGACTTGACATTTATTTCAATTTTAGATAGTTTTGAACGTCAAGAATTTGAAAGTTGCAGTTTATTTTACAATTTGCTTTTAACCCCAACCATTGCTGAAAATCCAGATTCACATTTATAAGCTTTCTACATCTCTTCACGACCCACTAAGATTCCTTTTGCGACCCACCAGTGGGTCGCGACCCATAGTTCGGGAACCGCTGCTTCAGAGTATCATGCTTCAGAAATTTGAAACACAAAAAAACAGCATATTGTCGATGGGAATAAGTCTCTAAATTTATATCAAAGTCTGAAAAAAAACTGATGGGATGACTGAATGTCAATTTTATCAAATGTATCTCTGTTTTTATTGTCGAATATACTTGAATTTAATGGAATATTATTTTTCGCTACAGAGCATCAACTCAGCCTGGTCTACTCGAACAATTTCAAAACAACAATGCACTTCTCGATCAAATTCAGAAATGTCTTGAGGCTTATCTTGAATCAAAGCGTGTCATCTTCCCTAGATTTTACTTCTTATCCAACGATGAATTATTGGAGATTTTAGCCCAGACTAGGAATCCTCAGGTAACATTTATAAAATCTGTGTTTTGAGGTGATACTGTGTGATGTAACAAAATTCATCACAAACTATAAGAAGAAAGTTACAATCTTACCTGATCTTGATGTCCAAATGAATATATAAACTGGTTGATGAGCGAAGTGCACATGGCTTAAATATTGAGTTTTTCCAGGAATGTTGCATGAAAATAACTGCAGGTTTTTCAATCAATGAGATTTACGTTAGACAAGGTTGTCTCATTTCATATTCAAAGTCATTTCTACACCTTGGGCTTTGTTACTTATGCGGTTTCTTTTAGGCTGTTCAACCACATCTCCGCAAATGTTTTGATGCGATTGCACTTCTTGAATTCGGAACTGTCTCTGTACCCTCCTCTGATGGTAGAGCAACACCTAGTGGAGAGAAGCCAGAGGTTCAAATAACCAATGATATTCTTGCAATGATTTCACCTGAAAAGGAAAATGTCAGTCTCGGAAAAGGCTTAAAAGGTAAGTCAACTCCACGTAAATCCTATCTTATGTAAATGTATACTTATATGGAAGACATTTCTTTCATAGCAGCAGATGTTTTTGTTGATTCATGTAATATTTTACTTATTAAATTCTACAGCTCGTGGTAATGTTGAAGATTGGTTGGGTAAAGTAGAGGAAGCTATGGTCACCAATCTACGTAAACTTACTAAACTATCAATGTCTGATTATATGCAGAAGGAAAGAGAAGTGTGGTGTGTTCAACATGCTTCTCAGGTAATTATGTGTGAATAAAACTGTTGATTTACTTTACTTTTCGTAATTTCAATCTCTTGATATTATTTTTAGAACTTACCACAAACTTAAATATATGCAAAACATTAATATTTTGAAACAATATGTTTTAGGCCATTTTTGGATTTGTGTCTTATTTTGGTTTGTCTCAAAAAATTCAATATTGACCTATTTTGAACTAAAGTAAGAGGAACATCCTCACCTTATTGATCATTATTGACTATTTTTATTTGATTCCGATATTGTTAATTTTTGACTTACAAATAACACATTCGGTATCCCTTCAAAATTTAATAATCCTTCGTTTGATCCATATCGTTTATATATACAGTATTGCATGTTTGAAAACAATTTTTCACAATAGTAAATTACTCAGTTTGATTAAAATTTGTAGTTAGTACAGGTATGGCTAAAACTGCAACTTTACAAAATTCTTACCCTATTTGTAGGTTATCTTGACTGTGTCACAAACAATGTGGTGTAGAGAAGTAGATGAAGTATTAGAGAATGAAGATGTTGATACCGCACTTCGTGCATTTGAATCAACTTGCTTCAGAAGACTAAACAACCTTGCAGCACTCGTACGAACCAATATTTCCAAACTACATCGAAATATTCTGGGAGCTCTCATTACAATTGATGTCCATGCTCGTGATATCATCACTGAAATGGTAAGTTTATTAATCAAATTGTAATGTTTTCTTTGACTTCTGTTCTATTCTGATTCAGGAAACTGATGTGTAATACAGATCTCCTTGTATAAGATTTTTCTGATAGTTTTATATATAGTGAAGGAACTGTATTCTGGATTCACGTAACTTTGAGAATGAGTAGGCTGCATGATATCATATATACACAGAAGATGCTGAAGCAATTTCATTACAGTGTGTTAGTTTCTTCTTATTTGTGTATATTTATCATTCTATCATTGGTCATTAAATATCAAATGAGAAGCAATGCATATTTTTCAAGGAACTCATAAACTACTGTGCACAAATTATTGATATCATAGGATTAAACATATCAACGAGTAATAATATTATATAGTCACTTGCACACAGCAATTATATAACATGGAAAAGACTTGCCATCAACAATTTGTGAATTGGAAAGAAATGCATTATATTTCCATATAATAAGGCTTTTCCACATGACTTGATTGTAGCAATATTATTAAAAAAAAATATATACGCGAAAATTATTTAATGCAAAAGTCTTGCTGCAAACTATCACAAATGTATTTCTTTCTCTTGGATTACATAGTACAGTCATCCTTTTTTCTGCATCCTTGCGTTATAAGCATATGAGGCAAAATAATGGAGCTAGTCTCTCGTAACCCCAATTGACTTGAAAAAAACTGTTTTCAAATTTCAGAGATAATTACTACGGTAATTTATGAATTTTTGAATTGAATCTTTTTCATCAGGTGAGATTGAAAGTAGAGAATTCACAGAGTTTTGAATGGCTTCGTCAACTTCGTTATTACTGGGATACAGATATTGATGATTGTGTTGTAAAATGTGCAAATTCAAGATATGTTTATGGTTATGAATATCTTGGTGCTTGTCCTCGTCTCGTCATTACACCATTGACTGACAGATGTTACTTGTGTCTTATGGGAGCTTTACAGGTCAGTAGAAGATAAATTTGCTTCTAAATGTTTATACTAATCCAGAAAATACCTTTACCATTATACACCAATCCACCTTAGGCAAACTATAAGGAGATAAGGCCTTTTTGCAGGCTAATAATTTGATAATGATTTTGTTGATAAATTGACATTTATAATTACTAGTCAAAGACTTTTCTTTGTGCATGCTAGGCTGACTTGTATGCAGCTTTCTTCAATTATATGATGATTGTCATTATTGATAATATACCAAACTTTTTGATAATTTTTAATTTTTGACTGCAAGTTTTGCACATATTTTACATGTAAAAATGATCGTAATATATAACTAAGGCTGTCGTATTTTAACTAATATGGCATTTTGCTCTCAACAAGGCTCTGTAAAATCAGCCATTAATATGCCGAAGCTCCTACTTTCGAAGAGACGAAATCAACGGTTTGACATTGCCTAACCAATTTATTGTGTTACGTAAAGGTGTTGGGCAGGGGGTTTAATTTAAAGATTTTTTTTCTTAGATGCAAACTCAGTTAGGCCTATCGATCTAAACACTAGGCAATTCATAAAAATAATACTTTGTTAGGTGTGTAAAATACCATGCATCTAGGTTGGTTTTACTACTAGATCATTACCTTCGTTATAATTTTTAATTTGCTGAAAAATAATCTCACTTAACTATGTACTATTGTAGCTTGATCTTGGTGGAGCTCCTGCAGGTCCAGCAGGAACAGGAAAAACGGAAACAACTAAAGATTTAGCTAAAGCACTTGCTAAACAATGTGTTGTATTCAACTGTTCAGAGGGTCTGGATTTTAAAATTATGGGAAGATTTTTCAGGTATAAACAAAAGTAAATTATAAATGCATATTACCACTTTGCCATTACCCATTTTTAATAAAAGTTGAGCTGGAAATCATCTGTGGTTTGTTACATGTTTAGGTCACTTTGTCAGCTTTCCTCTTCTCCGAAATGTAATAGGATTCTACTGGATATACACATATATTCCATGCTTGCTTTGAGTTCAAATTTTAGTTAACCATGGAAAGTGAATTTTTTATGTATTGGTATTTTGGTAGAATTTATATACAATTCCAAACCTTTCCATTCTTCTAAGTCCGATTCCTCTGAAAATATTGTCATAATGCAATAATTACTAACCTGTTTTCGTTTCTATACCAGTGGTCTTGCGCAATCCGGTGCTTGGTGTTGTTTTGATGAGTTCAACAGAATTGACATTGAAGTATTGTCTGTCATTGCGCAACAACTATTGACCATAAGAAATGCCAAAACAGCAAAACTTCAAAGATTCATGTTTGAAGGACGTGAGATTAAGCTTGATCCAACATGCGCTGCATTCATTACAATGAACCCTGGATATGCGGGACGTACTGAGTTACCTGATAACTTGAAGGTAACGATGTTTTCTGTACATTTGGTGCAAACAAAAAAATTTCACACAATACAATAGATCAATGCACTATGACAGACTGAATTTTACAATCATTTCGTAAACATGGATTTAGATATTATGTAAAATACCAGATATTGATTACAACCATGGTTACAAAAGTTTATGTACCGTACTTCAATAGTTTGTTTTTGACACCCTTTATATGCCATCAACATGGGACTCCGATCTAACATTGTATACATTGTATAGAAAAGGTATTTTCAGTATGATTGCTGATCGCTCCAACAGTCATTGCCTTTTTCACCAATCACAGGCTCACAGCCTTACATTGTGAACCTTTATTTGACCGTAATATCCTGCTCCTGAGTGGTTTGAATTCTTGCGTCGCGGTTGATGCATCATGCTGAGCATTAGGAACAAACGCGCTTGTAAGGCTGTGATTTATCATGTCATTAAGCCACCTTTCCTCTCCGCTAGGATAAATATGGTAATCCTATCATGTTCTTAATTGTAGATAGCACATTTTGGGACAGTTCCAGTTTTAATGAAAAACGCTTTATTATATTTTTTTCAGGCATTGTTCCGTCCATTTGCTATGATGGTACCTGATTATAAACTGATTGCTGAAGTCATCTTGTACAGTGAAGGTTTTGAATCTTCCAAAAATCTTGCAAGAAAAATGACTCAAATGTACAAGCTTTGCTCTGAACAGGTAAAAAAGTAACAGTAAATTTTTTTGTAAGGAATATTTGAGATTTGGCTATCAGTTTGATTGATAAACTAGACAGAATTTTCGAATCAACAGCAGAATAATCATTGATCAAGTGAAACTCGGCATTGGCTTTAAACAAGTATGCAAATATCCTCTTCCGAGTTTGGTTCATGAAAAGGCTCTACTTGGTAGAGGGAGAGATTGTGTAATTTCCTCTGGTTAATAATTTCATTTTTGTTCCTTCATTTTAGTTGTCACAACAAGATCACTACGATTTTGGAATGCGAGCTGTCAAATCTGTATTGGTCATGGCTGGATCACTGAAACGTGAAAATCCAGATATTCACGAAGACATTGTACTGATTCGTGCTCTACGTGACTCAAATCTTCCAAAATTTTTGACGCAGGTAACACGGTGTTTATTATTTTGGTTATAGAATTCCAATACGTTATATTATTTCTGAATTATGTTTGTTCAAAGTTTCAAAATTTATATTGTGATTTTTTCTTTGATTGCTTTTGATTTCGATTTCTTTGATTGATTTGATTGAACAACTTTGAATATATCTGCTTAGTTCATTGCACTCATTTTTAATATTATGTATATTTAGGATGCTCAACTGTTTCGCGCTATCTTGTCTGATTTATTCCCTGGAGTTGAAATTCCTGAACATGACTATGGTATATTCCAGTCAACTATCCAAGACTGTATGATGGAAAAGGAATTGCAACCAATTATGTCTATGGTCAAAAAAGTAAGTATACATTGATGTTCTTTTTTGTATTTGTTGTAAACTTTTATGTGAGCTTTGGCATATTAATTGAACGCAAAGTAGATCTATTGATAGTTTTAGAAAATTGTCTAAATCTTTTGGTTCACAGTATTCAAAGACTTTTCAACGGGGTTTCTGAAATTTCTACCGACCAAGTTAGACCGTAACAGCTAGCAAGTCCAGCAGAAAAATGCTTTTTTCTACATTTCAAAAAGGGGATTTCCGATACGCAATCCCCATCTCCTTAACGTGCCCTTGACTGTTACTATAAGTTTGTAACCCTTGCAGACATCCTACTTTACATCCTATTTCACTTAGTTAAAAAAGCGTGCTACCTCATTATATTGACAACCATATGATAATCCATGGCAGCCTGTCATATCAATAAATCTATTGCAGTTTTGTTTTATCCAGTACAAAAATTAAAAAAAACATTGATTTTAAATGTTGCATTACTTTCGAACAAGGTAATCCAACTTTATGAAACGATGCTTGTACGTCACGGTGTCATGTTGGTTGGACCTACTGGAGGTGGAAAAACAACTGTATACAATATGTTGGCTGATACATTGACTACTCTTCATAAAAACGGACATGAAAATCCTAACTATCAACTTGTTAAAACGTGAGTTAATCCTCGGCACTAGTTTCATATATAACAGTAGTTATTTTTGGAAATTGAGTTCTATAGGTTACAGGACATTTTTTTCAAAACAAGATTATATGCACTCACTCAGTAAAAGTTTCTCATCTTTGATCAGTATTTGAGTAGCTCGAGCCATTGACTTGACTCAAGTCACCATTTATCAAAGACTTGTAGTTGCTTGAGTCATCTCAATGAAATGACTCGAACTCCTCATCAACTAGTCAGACTTACGTTAACTAATCGAACTTGGAATTGATTCGAGACGCGGATGATGAGTGACTCAACCTAATTCTTGAAATTGTTTTTCTCTGCCAAGTTATTAAAAAAAACAGAGACTCACTCTTTCTATTTTGCTAGTGTTGTACTGAATCCAAAAAGTATCAGTATGGGAGAATTGTACGGAGAAGAAGACAAATTAACTCTGGAATGGAAAGATGGTCTGATGGCTATCAGTGTGAGACATGCAGTACAGGTAATTATTCTACTTTGTGTATTCAATTTTCAATTAATACATAATAAATCTGCCAGCATATATCACTGATTTTTCCCTATTGGAAAAAATGTGAATCTCGACTTGGAATGAGAAATTTTATATAAAAAAAGTCCGGAAGATGGCCTGATCATGTAAAAAATTACGTCTTTGTGCCCAGTTCGAAATTCCAAATGGAATGGATGGAAGAAGTAGCCAATCAATTGGTATTTGAGTATTTCTGCAATTCTAAGAATTCCTGCAATCCTCTTGCACATACAGTGATGTTTCTCACAGTAATTAATGTCCTGAAACCTTCGGAGTGGGTGGCACAGTAGGATAATTGATGCATAGCTAAATGAGTTCACTATCATGACAGTTTTTTTGTTTTATAGGATACTACCGAGGATCACAAATGGATAGTCTGTGATGGACCTGTCGATGCATTGTGGATTGAAAATATGAACACCGTATTGGATGATAATAAAATGTTGTGTCTTGCAAATTCTGAGAGAATCAAACTCACCAACTCCATGCATATGTTGTTTGAAGTTCAGGTAGCTGTTATTTTTTCACTATAGCCATTTACTGTGTTTATTTTTTACTATATATTTATTTGAAGTTAAAAACAATTTCAAATACCTTTTTCACTATCATTCATTCTAGATGAGGTGTTTTCAACCTCGTTAAATTATTCCTTAAGGGTAAATCTGACTTGCCTTTGGGAGTAAATTATGCAAGAAAGAAACCATACATTTCTGTACTGCATGCATAGGCGCAGACTATTGCTCTCATTTTAATACATGATCGAATGTGGTCGTTGCCCAAATAGCAATTGCAACATTGCTCGAATAAATTGCGTAATAAATGTTACCAAGCTCTAAAAACAGAACACAGTTTGCGAACACAAGGTGTTTTTGAGTGAGTTTTTAAATTATTCACTGGTCTTTGGGCCTGCCATTCCGACTACTTACTCTCTAATCAAACCTCTGTGCTTACGAAGAGATAATTTTGAAACAATTGGGCTCAAATTTTTTCCTTCAAATATATCTTGAAGTACCAGTATATAGCGCATTCAAATGAAAGACCAGACCTATTGACTGATCTTTTGATTTTTGTAGGATTTGGCTGTTGCATCTCCTGCTACTGTATCACGTTGTGGTATGGTATACATCGATCCTGGTGAATTGGGATGGCGTCCCTATGTCAAAACATGGCTTGTGACAAATATGTCTGAAAAAGTTCGGGAAGAAACAAGAAATTATATTCTGGATTTATTTGATGCATACGTGGAAGATGGACTGAGGTAAATGCTTACAATTGATTTACACTCAATATGAGTTTACAGACACTTAGTGGGGCCAGCATCTCCCACCAAACTTCCTGCTTCCTGGGTAATATGTTTGGCCGAGATGAGCACCTGATGCTACTGATGATGCATGTGAGTGTGTGTGAATTAATTTACTGTATTTCTTCTTGCATAACACTCGGGCGTATTACAGCACCTGGGTCACCAGTAATCTTTAACCCTTACCATGCGGTAGGTACGTAAACGTACCAACGGTAAAAGTTGCTAGATTGCGGCGGGTACCTCAATGTACTCTACTGTTTCATTTGGCATTCGGTCGCAAACTGTTGGTCTAGTTTTTCCGTGTTTTAGTCTATTGATAAGTAGTCTTTTTCGAGATTAACTTAAGCGGCGCTAATTTTTTGCCTTTCTGTTCCATTTTATTAAAGTTTGCAGCATTTTCTCAAAGTTTGTGTTGAACATATAGGTGGGGAAGGCATGAGAGTGCACACGATGGGGCTGTAAGGCTGTATGATTTCTGGTCATAGTTAGCTTCTTGGTTGAGTAGGTGACTCTCTGACATCTTCATGTGGCAATAAAAACGTATTATAAGCGTCTAAGAAGCAATTGGAAACGTTACAAAAGTTTTGAAATTTATGCAAATTTTGGGGGTTTTTGGGTGGTAATACAAGAAGTATTAGCCCTTCCATCTACCAGAGTATTTTGAGTTTTTTACAGCAACATTATGCTATTGTTTGCCAATAACGAAGCGGTAACAATAAAGGTTTTGGTGAATATTTCTATTTTTCATCACAGTTTGAAGTTATAACTCCCAAGAAAAAAAATTGCCTTTTTTCTATCCGGGTTGTGACTCAGAACACCACTTTTAAAAAAACTTTTTGTTTTATTTGCTAATTGCAAGCTCTTTAAATAAGCTTTCCAACAAGCCGTCAGTGGGCAGCAGAGAATCATTAGTTTTTCGTTAGTCGATCGATTAGTTGTGGGTGTACAAATGCATAAAATCGGCGTAGCAAATACCATCATTTAATGAAAAATAGAAATCGCATGGAAAGGGTTAATCTCCATACATTATACACATAGCTGGTTTCCTTTTCTCTCCTGCGTTTTTTTCAATTATTTCATCGCTTGTTACGCTGATTATGAAGTCGAAATGAAATTATTCTTATAATTAATTTTATTTCACACTTTTCACGCTTGAAGGTTTGAATCTGAATTAATCCAAGTTGTAGATTTTAAAACCTTAGTTTTAAAAATAACAGTTTTGAAAATTGTTCATATTTTGAAACGAAGTTTTAATTCCTCTTTTTATTTTTTTAGATTTGCTACAAAGCAATGTATCCAACCAATGCCTCAAGTTGATATAAGTAAGGTGGCAACTTTATGTTGTTTGATGGAATCTCTCCTGCTCGGGAAAGGTGGACCTGATCTTAAACAGGTCAGAAAATATGTTTTATTTTTGTGCATTTTATAATAAACTTACTTATCAGTCTTGGTTAATCAAGTGAGGTTGTGCCTATGTCCTAGCTTGCTCCCATCCCATCAGAAGAAACTCTTCTTGAGGGGGAGCTGACTTTGATGACTGGCCGATGATAAATTTTGAATCAAAAATAATTTTGTATTTTTGTACCCACTCTCCCTTCAACATAATGAACAAATATAATTACAGTAGCTGAAGCATATAGGAATGTCAGGTTTCAACATAAATGAAATAAAGTTTATTACCATATTATAATATATATTTATTAATACATATTTTTAAACTTTTTCTTCAGGATCCCATCCGACTTCATCCACTCATAGCGAATGCATTTATATTTTCATACCTGTGGTCAATCGCTGGTAATCTCGTGGATACAAGTTGGGATTCATTCGACACTTTTGTGAGAGGACAAATGGAAGACAACCCAGAAATGAAGGTTCGATACATTCCATGGTTGTATGACAGACCACCTCAAACATTTTTTTATAATAAAACAAATACCTAAATATGAGCTTTTGCGACGATTTTACATAATCTCATAACAAAATCTATTCAATATTATAAGTAACAAAAAATCTGAATCAGTTCGAATGTAAACAGTTTTTACCCATTTTTTTTACAAGAAATAAATAGTAATGATACTTGCGACTGTGAGACTGCTATGAAACTATAATTATCCATCTTTTATATTTATTTGATGTATAGTTTGGGATTGTAAATTTACAAAGTAATATGCTCTCATTTAGCTCGACAATGACCTAGTCGCTAGAACACCATGTCGGCATCTCCAGATTGAGTATTCCTACCACCTAACTGCCTACATTCTGATTCCTAGAAAATTACTAGCTTCTTTTACATCAGTGTACTGCTTGTGTAGGGCTTTTTTTGAAGTAAAATCACCTCGTGAACAAAATTTTATCATACTTCTTGCACAGCTTCCTCCAAGTGGAGATTTATTCAACTATCATATGGATTTTGACAACAAGAGGTTTGAAGTCTGGGAGAGAATTATTCCTTCTTTCAAATACAATCCTGAACTTCCTTTCTTTGAAATTCTTGTTCCAACAATTGACACTGTGAGATACGGATATATCATGGAAAAACTTCTTGCTGTCAATAGATCAGTACTTTATACTGGTAGGTTGCTTTTCTTTCGAAACTTCCTTGATATTTCTATTACAAGTTTTTGTGCTGCAAATATTAAAGATGTTCTAAGCTATAAAATTTTTTTAAAGATCAATGCTCCAACTGCTCGGTGGTGTGGAGCATCGTTTTAAGCATTATACGCACGACATCGCACCTCTGCTTTACCCGCGTGGGTTCGAATCCGAATTGCTTGACTCCTCGTCGCTGTAGGGTGGTTCACAGTTACGACGTCCTCCACCGCCAAATACCTGGCTAACTAATCCCATACCTGACATGGACTGGTAACCAGTGTTCACTATTAGCGCACTTTTTTGCGAAAATTGCGAAACACTTTCGCAACTTTTTTTAGGGACTGCGAAATAGCACTTTTTTCCGATTTTGAAGAGAAAAAGCACTTTTTTCCGATTTTGAATGGAATAAAAATTCAAAGTTAACAAATATTTTCGAGTATTAAGTTGACAAATAAGTAACATACTAGTACTTTTGTAACTCAATTCTGCATATCATAACGATATTTATCGGAATTCTAACCTATGAGATGCAGACAAAGGAGATAAAGCTTTTGCATTAAGGGCAAAATTCTTGTTTATAATATGATTATTATACAAGCACACCGATTCCGCTTCTCCCGCAAAAAACGCTCCCGGGTGTTTGAAACCAGATGTTGGAATACTAGGCAGTGCGTTTCTTTGAAGGTCATGTGACTATCAATGATATCGATGAATTCAAAATGACTATAAAAGTGTTAGTAACGTGTTATAGTCACTTTGGATGAATTGTGACCAAACTGCACGATTTTCAAATCAGACGAAACTTTTAGCAGCATGTCACAGATTTGCAAAATCACCAAATTCACAAAATACCATTAAGTGCCATTTTATTGTAATCACAATGTTGAAAGGACGTGGCAATGGTGGCATTTTCCGGAATTTTTCGATATTTACACAACTATTTCTCATTGATATGCGAGGACAGGTGGGCAAAATTCAATATTTTTTTTAATCGAATATTTTTAAGGAGTACCGAATAAACGTGGTGGAAACATTAAAAAATCGGCAATAAAGCCTTTTTACTGGTTAATTCCTTTGTAATGGCTAATTGTTCTTGTCACCGATCGTTTTGGCGGCGATATCCAGGTTTTGGGTAATCTATATTCCCGCCCTCTCTTTTTTACAAATATGAATTCTTGTGGGTCGGCGGTCATCAAAGTTTTATATTTCGGGTTTACCCGTTCGTTCACATCGGCAACAGCTGTTGAAGACATTGAGGACTCAAATTAACATTTGCGTTGGCTTTAATATTACCTATCAAGATTTGTAAATTTACCGTCCCAATTTTATGGGAATGGTAATATTATTGTCCATACCGTGATGCAGATATTTATTAAGACGATAATTAACTTTGTCATGTATTTCTATGGTGATAAACTTCGCAAACCTGAAATTGTGCCAATCCTGAATGTTGATTTAAAATAGTGATTGAATAATTCGGCAATAAAGGCATTTCTGCGTGGTCATAAGACGAGATGGCGTTAATGAACAGCACTTCTTTTACAGGATATTTTACGTATGCGACTTGATGCTAAAAAGATTGGGCTCGAGTGCCTAATAGAGGTCAGGCGCTAATTGTAACTAATTCCCTCAAGTTTCAACGTGTTTTCAACAAAACAATACCCAGGCGATAATTATAGCTGAAAAGTTACCGAGCAATTCACAATTTTATTTATGGAATTTGCAAATTCACCAGTTTCTTGACGATTTTGATATTGTCACGCCCTAATTATTAGTGCAAAAAATACTCCCATTCTTCCGCGGCGGTTTGACGGGTTCTTTGTTCTATTCTTCAGAAAGTTCTGATACGGGGATACAGAATACTGAATCCGGAGGGTTGAATCCCTGTCCGCTTACTGGTGATTTTCCGTTTTGAAATGCGTGAAACATTCTTTATTTTAAATTAAATGGCGTTTCGCGGGCTAGAGTTCTCCCCGAAAATAATGTGTTCCAGACGTTAGTTAGACGATAGATAAAACATTAGATTATTAATTTTCGTGACGCCCCGTTTTCGAAAATACAAAGTTATATCGCAAAAAAGCGTTATGATACATTTGGAATGAAACATTATTTACCGTTAATTCAGATCATATTTTACTCTTCATGACACCCGGTATCCGAAAATACAGTTGTATCTCGAAAAATGTGTTTTGTTACATTTAAAATAAAACATTTTTGCGATTAATTTAGATCATATTTTACTTTTCAGGACACCCGTTTTCGAAAATACAAGGTTATATCGCAAAACGTGTTTTGTTATAATTGATTGGTTATAATTGATATTCGTTAAATTTTTTTTTACACTATTAATAAACGCACCACACCAATTGCGACCATATAAATTGCAGTCGCATCGGTATGGACTGTATGTTTTTGGCACTCTCACATTAATAATAATTTTCAACAAAACAATACCCCGACGGTCATTAAAGCTGAATTCGTTACCGAATAATTCACAATTTTATTTACGGAATTTGCAATTTCAAGATCTCACTTGACGATTTTGATGATGTCATGCCCTAATTATTTCTGCTTAAATGCCTCAAAATACAACAAATGTAATCATTTTCGACGATAACAGGCGCAACAATTCGTAAACGAGCCGTTATAACGAAATTCGCGATTGATTTTACCTCTCTCTTGTTTACAATTTTAACATCCCGCCGGCCATGTATGGTCGAATAAAATGTTCACATATTCGAAACATGACTTGGCCAAGGATGGAAGGGATCACTAAAGAGCTAATAGAAAGTACATACGCGAGGGTATGATATTAATATCGAGAACATTTGTGAGCATATCACAGGACTGAAATATTTTGCACCCGGCTGTTTGTTGGCAGAACAACGATACGCTAAAGTTAATTGATCGAATACAGGGAAGTATTTATTTATCATCTCACTTGCGAACATCGAGGTGTTGGCGGAATTGTACGATCATGTTGTCTTTCTTAAATAATAACTTTTTCAATGAATGTTCATTTTACTTTTGCGTCTTTATTATATGTCGGGTTTTCATTTATTTTAAATTCGAAATTGTCCGAAATACTCCCAACAGGTGTATAAGTACAATAATATTAGTACTTACCAAAGTACTTACCAGGGAAGTTTATTACACACGATGTGTAAAGGGCGTCGTAACTCCCGTTTATTAATTATAAATTATTTTTCATTCTGCTTAAAAAACAACGGCAGCATCTCACTTAACTCTCGCGACCAAATCTCTTTTGTTTTGTATGGCATCGTCTTGGCGATGATTTTATTGCCGACTGAATTTTAATTGTGTTTTAGGATAAGTTATTTTCTGTTTGTTGGTTTCTAAATTTTACAAACTTGGGTAGCAATTACTATTAATGTGAGATTTGTGCATATGAACGATTGAATATCGCGACTGGATGTCCGATATCTGAGAATGCGTAATTCTCTTTCAACATTAATTTTCAGAATATCAGCGTTCATGTGGTCGAATAAAAATTATTTATCAAATGGATTGGTGTTTCGAGACACTGTCAAAATTATTTGGGATCCACTATCATATCATTCGTTTATTTTTTTTATTCATGTTTTTCTCAAGAATCACCGTCCTTATATTTAGTGTACCTTCGCAAAAGAAAACTCTTTGGTGTCATCGTTCCTATTAGTGTAATTGAAATATATGGAAACCTCGCAAGTGGCGTTGTGATGCGAATATTTGATACTAGGTCAGCAGAATTACAAAGAGTGCTATTTATGAATGCTGAAAGTACATGACATTACTGAACATTTTGTCAATATATGATGTTTTCTGCCCGATTTAAACTAACTCGCACGCAAACCAAGGCATGTCGACATTTAAAAATTACTTGTCTTTGGGTAAGCTCTGAAATAGTATAATATAAATGTAAATGAGGAATTAGGTCACGCTAGCTCACGAAAGGGAGGATTTTCAAAGTGATCTTGTGTAATATTTCGGAGAAAAAAGTTTGAAAGGAAAGTAGGTCAACCTATCTCCTAAAACAGGGGAGTATCCTGCGTAATATTTCGGAGGGAACATAGGTTAACCTATCTTTTAAAACAGCGGGTGGCGACTTTCAAAGTGGTTCAAAATCACAAATTAATAATTATCAGATTAGGTTTAGGGATAAATCGAAAAGTTGAATTTCCAGCGCACCTAACCCTAATTAGGCTATTTATATTTGGGGGATTATTTTGCAGGGATTTGTACAAACGATCCACCCTGTAACTAATATGGTTTCCAGCCTGCCTCGTGTCTGTTAGATGGAAGGAGTAACAAATGTGAAAGTCTTTGCTGTTTAGGCTAGTAAGCAACTGACACCGTGACACATTGCATGAAAGTTTTGTCCGCGGCAGGTGTTAGCAGATGTTATTTCGTTGCCGATGAATTCCCTTGTTTTAATTAAACATGAATTCGCTTAAAGGGAACTCGTTAACGAAAAGGCTTCTCTTTAATTCATAATATTAACCGGAGGAGCGCTTTTTCGAGTATCTATGCCGTTTTAAATGGGTTATATGAAAGGTTAGGGCACATAACTTGTGAAAATCGGCAAAAGCACTTTCGCACTTTTTTTTTCGACTGCGAAGCACTTTCGCACTCATAATTTGCTTAGAGTTAACACTGGTCATGTGACTATCAATGATATCGATGAATTCAAAATGACTATAAAAGTGTTAGTAACGTGTTATAGTCACTTTGGATGAATTGTGACCAAACTGCACGATTTTCAAATCAGACGAAACTTTTAGCAGCATGTCACAGATTTGCAAAATCACCAAATTCACAAAATACCATTAAGTGCCATTTTATTGTAATCACAATGTTGAAAGGACGTGGCAATGGTGGCATTTTCCGGAATTTTTCGATATTTACACAACTATTTCTCATTGATATGCGAGGACAGGTGGGCAAAATTCAATATTTTTTTAATCGAATATTTTTAAGGAG